AAAACAAAAAAAGAAATCTCATAAACTTCGTTTTTTATTGTTTCAGATACTGATCATTTTTGAGAAAAAAATTTGTGGTGGAAAATTAGCGAGTTGGAGGTTGTAGAGGGTGGGACGGGTATATCTCTTTTTTATTTAGTTTAATGATACACTTCCATCCCTAGTAATTCTTCGCAATCTATTTGACACATTCTAAACATCATAGATTCCCCTCACATAGCAACGTTTTGATGGAAAAGATGTTATAGTTATTAATTGGAAAGTCGAAAAATCAAAAAATTTGAAAGTTGAAAAATATTAAAATTGTAAAATTACAAAATTAAAATATCGGATTGGCTACACAACTCCACCCAATCCAAATTTTTCAATGGGTACTTGAGTAGAATAATAGTAATATATTTACCTCAGCCTCTTCACTAGTGTGGGGACTATAATCTTCATCTTCTGCATCAGAAATTACAGAAGATGATGGTGGTGTGCAGCATATATTAGGCGAAGTAAGAGATATGAACTGAAATGAATGACATATATCAGACATGTTTCATAAAGAATACATAATATTGCTTTACCGAGCTAGATTCACTTTGGTGGTCTGGATCTTCCACTATGCTCTCGTTATTCGAGGTAACGTTGTACTGAAAAAGGTTCAATAGAATAAAAAAGTTCACAGAGTAGGCAGTGAATGATTATTACCTCAGAGTCCTTGCACAAGTTACTGCAATGAACATTTTCTGATAAACCGGATATTGATGATGATGGGGGTGTACAGCATATCTTGGGGGATGTAGAAGATATTACCTAGAATAAATCATAAATATGGGAACTCTACCAAAAAAAACATACTTATGTTTTACCGAGTTGCAGTCACTGTGGTCGCTGTTTTGTTTAACCACAGATGACACCTTACGTGAATCAGTAATCACTGTTTCAGAAGTCTTATCTTTTTCTTCATCTCTTGGATGCTGTGTGATAGGTGATAGACCTCTGTTACAAAACCAATTTTTGCTCATATTGAAAGGCTTTCCCTGGAAAAGTTCAAATATATTGTTTTGTAATTATTCCGTTTCAACTTAGAGAAATAATACCATTCCAAAAAATAATAGATATACAATATCGACTATCTTCAGGAAGAATACAACATGCTTGTTTTTAGTGAAAAGATATTTGATAAGAGTGCTCTCAAAAATGTCAAAAAGCCAATTATATTAGAGTAATTTTTGTCATTAGCTTTTTTCCCAATGAACTGACATCCACAAGCCATTTTTTTCCGTGCAGCAATAGTATATGTTGATTGTCAAAGTAAAATACTTTATTTTTAATTGATTCTAGTAGCAATACCAGTGAATGATGTTCGAAATTTTACCAAACTCAATAATACGTAATGTGTTATCATTAAACACTATATCCATGCATTAACACTAGAAATTTTTGAGTGTACAGATACAGGAAATAGGTATGATTTCCTGTTTTCTACGCAAATGTTTGATAAAGTCAGATATGTCAAATAGATCCGATAGAAAACCTTAGGAAATTACGATTCACTCCCTCATCAACTCCTAACCCTCAAAATTTATTTGGATAATGATCAAGAGCCCCTGAATCGTCAAAAAACAAAGTTTGAGCGATTTCTATTTTTTCGTTTGTGGCCCTTTTCTCTGACGCCACTGGACCTATTTTTAAAAGCTAAAGCTTTCTTGTCCATAGCCTCGTAGCAACCTTGTGTCTAAATTTCATCAAAGTCCCAATGGTACTTTCCACGTTATAGCAGAAATGAGTATCATGGTTTTCCGTGATCTACATGTCATATAGCATCCAACAAAACATAATACCTCACTTTCAAAATATCTTGCGATTACAATACTTCCTCGACCGTTGACGTGGGAAGTAAAACATGATATCTCTGATTTGCAATTTTAGATTTAGAATTTTATCACCCCGCTACTGTACCATATAGGAAATAATCAACACAATCTCCCGTTTAAAATTATCATTGTCTACATATAAAGTCGAGCTACTTGACACCGTGAGTCAAAAGCACAGTCTGTAGTGATTTTGTATTATAATGCAAAAAACGGAATCAGTACATATACAGGTATGTACCCTAAAAAAGATGTAAAGCAGCAGCTAGAAAAAAGCCAAAATGAGCTTTGATTGAAGTATTCTATTTTTAAATTTTCAGTGATGTATGGTCACACTCAATCTACTTGACCCTGTTCTTTAACTTGAAAAAAAAAACATTGTAGCTTTACATTCAAGAATCACCTATACAAAACTAAACCAACAAGATTAGATAAAGTTTGGCGTAAAATTTATGGGGGTTGACCTTTTGAACAGCATTGTTTTATCCTTCACGCTACTCAATATTCATTGCTTTTCCATTAAATGTAAGTAATACAGTCATATTACCATCATATCTTATTAACGATTGCATAAGAGTTCAAAAAGTCATACTTACCTCAACAGTCCTTTCAGACACACTCTTGAATACACAACAGATTTGAACGTCCTTCCAGCACGATTGGTGCCAATAAAATGAATTCTCAGATCTTAGACAAACCGACAAACCCTATCCCCGGGCGCACGCGCTTTATTGACTGGAATTAAAATGATCGGGAGACCGATCTGACGTCAGACGTACGCCATTCAGCTAGTTCGGGTATTGTGGAGGACTCAGCACTGGTTTGCGTATTGAAGAGTATTCTTCATGGGAGATTGATCCACCAGTGTTTAGTTAATTCGAGTATTTTGGGAGACTCAGTGCTGGTTTCTTGTGAATCGTATGGTAGAAGAGTATTCTGCATGGAAGACCGATCTAGCAGTGTTTAGTAAATTCAAGTATTTTGGGAGACTCAGTGCTGGTTTCTTGTGAATCGTAGGGTAGAAGTGTATTTATTCTGCACGGAAGACCGATCTAGCAGGGTTTAGTAAATTCAAGTATTTTGGGAGACTCAGTGCTGTTTTTTTGTGAATCCGAAGGTATTTTGATGGACGATTGTATCATATGGCTTTTGGTTGGCGTGACTATATGGTTAAGTCTGAGCTATTAGAGAAAATCGTTGATATACGATTTTATTTCAAGATTAGGAATATTCTCATAGATAGATGGTACCAAACATGAATGGTGATTTCCTTATCCAAAGATAACGTCACATGATTGTAAGGCTCAGTATAGTGATTAGGTAATTCAAGTATTTTAGGATACTCAATGCTGTTTTTTGCGAACCGGAGGGCAGGGAAGTATTTCAACTGCTAATATCACAGATTTGGAAATTACGCGTCTAAAGCTTATCATCATTAGGATGTCGTCGATACGACATAGGCTATTGGAAAAGCAAAGTGCTCGATCTGAAAGTTCATACAACCTCCTGGACATGTAATAGAAAAAAGTATTCTTGATTGTGTGGGCTGCTCGATGATCTGATAATTTTTGCATAGGTAAGTTATAATTTACGAAACGTTGGGCATCCTTCTGTCGTATGCTAGCAACGTTTTGTATAGTCTTAATCGAGCAAATAGTGTACTCAAAGTTGCTGGAAAGAATTTTGGTTATATCCATTGGAGATCCTTGAAAAATAATATAATAATACAAGTCCAAGTTAGGAGACTTCAGTAGTATTATGTAAAGAGAAATAAATGAAACTTGGCACCACTGCACGGATGACTTATCTACTGGTGTTTAGTTAATTTGAGTATTCTGGGGGACCGAATGCCGTTTTGTGATCTGAAGGGTATTCCGGTAGAGGACACATCTTACGGTTTTTAAAAGGTAGACCTATATAGCGGACTTTATATGAAAATCCGAAATGTTAATGTACAGTTTTTTGAGCTGATCCTGGATCAGTTTGCCTTTTTGTTGGATATACACGAATCAAATTTGATATATATTCGATATTTCTGGTAGGTGACTTATTGCTGGGAATTGAAAGGATTACCGATCCACATGGAGATGTAAATATATATATATATATATATATATATATATATATATATATAAGGAATAATTTTTCTAAAAATTCACTTCCTTGTAGATGTCAACTGATAGAACAAAAGTGTTTTTGTGTTTAAAGATTTTCCACGCGTAGTTTTCGAGATACAAGGTCTCTAAGTTGAGTAGTTCGTACCCTATTACAGCATATTATGGGTTAGGTACTCAATATGTTATAGCTGTTTAATGTTGTATGTTGATGAGTTACATTGTTATCCTTATACCTACGGACTGGTTCAGTAAGATTATAATTCTGTCATACATACAGGGTAGGCCCAACTTACAAGGATGGTCTATTGCTTCGAGACCCCGACGTTTTCAAAAACTCAGGATTATCCTGCATTCAAAAATATTCAGGATTAAGCTCTACAAAACGCAGAGGTAATTAGTTCCATCCATAAATGTAATAAAAATATGGATGTCTAAAAAAAATAACTGTCCCTCTGAATCTGTCACTGAAATAACTATTACATATTGTGTACCCAACTCACAATAAGCAGTAATAGGGTATGGCTGCCCAACTTTCGCGCCATGTATCTCATAAAGTATTAATGGAAAAACTTTGGGCCTATGGACACTTTGTTTTAATACGCTCAGATCTACAATGTTTATTAAAACAAATTAGCTGGAAGCCATTTCCCATGAAGTTACTTCAGAATAGTACCAACAATAATGAAGAGCTTTATCAATCACAAATACTGCACATATAAATGTTAATAACAACCTCATTTGACATCTAAGACATAAGTCATAAGAATTCAATGAACAACATGACATGACATGAAGTTAGCGTTTATCCATGTTTTGCTAGCTGCAACATGAAATCTTATTTTAATGAAAGTTTACTATATTTACAAACTTTAAAAAACACATGATTTACATTAGTAAACTTTTAATCCAACTTCTGTGGTTTCAACTGAGTCTTTTAATGTTGTTTGAATCATTATAACTTTTTTAACGACTGTCAATAGTCAAGCTTTTAGTTCGATATATGCATTAAAATCAAACAACTTACCTCTGTGCCTCAGGTATCATATGGTGAACTGCTAGCTTGCTTTCACGTTCTGAAACAAAATAAAGTTGAGCAAAAACAAAGAATCAAATAACTTCACATAATCTACCACCTTTGTTTACTTATCACCATAGCAAATTTAATATATCATTTTCACGTTTCATTTTCAAGAAATACCTATACATCTCTAAAAAACGTCATTAATTTTCCTTTGCCTGTCTGTCTGTCATCTGCTTTGTAAAATTTAGTTCTGAGAAGTTAAGAAATCGGGAGTAAGAAATTTTGTCCACAGTACACCTTATTTCATTTTATAATAAAAAATTTGGAGCTAATTTGACGAATTTACGATCATAGCAATAATGCAAAATCTATGCAGTTTTGGAGAACTGCTGCTTTGGCAATGGAGTGGTCAGTCTACTAATTTTCAACTTTGGTCCTCTGAAAACCTCGAAAGTACTGCATAGATTTTGATGAAACGATATCGAAGTTACTATATCCGCTGCGATATTATTTACGTATCTATCGCTAAAACTACTTGTGCCTTTCAAGAAATATGTTCAACAAACCTGGCAATGCTTTGAGAGGCAAGATTTTTTTACAACTGCCATAATTTACTTTTTCCTATTCCTAGACTTGGTATATCTTTAAAGAACCAATCCGTGTTCCACTGTCGCGTCGGTCCAGCCATAATCAGAAGCGAGCATTTTTGCTAGTTTGTCACACTCCAGCAGCAAAACTGTCATTTGCGATCGGTACTTTTGCGGTCAATTTTAGACAAAAAAATGGATCAGTGCCGCCAGCGAGAATGATCGATACGATTCTGTTCTGCGGTAATAGGGGTTGGTGAATGTTATTAATTTTTTGATATAACTAATTTTATATTAAAATAAGGATATACAGTGGATTAAAGACTACATTTTAGTTTTGCTATTACAAAGCCTCTGTCCAAAACCATTTGCATTCCTGAGGCTCCCTACTCAGTCGACTTCCGAATACTGATGAATTGCTTGTTTATATAATCTGCTGAGCCTATTTCACATTAAAGCACAAGCAGCAAATCTGACAACTGTTACAGTTGTTACAAAGAGACACGCACACCACCAACCTAAAACAACCCCACAATCCAGACCAAAAACCGACAGGGCATTGGCGATTCCAGACACAAAGGGTGCATCCGAGGTCAAGGCCCTTCGACATCAGGTGGGCCGCGCCAAGGTCATGCGTCGTCGCCAACTGCCATCTATTAAACGCGATGTTGCCGGCAGATGCTTCAGTTGTTTTATAATACGTCCCACACGAAAAAGTAGGCAGGGACAACAGACCGAGGCCTATTAGCGAACGTAAGTATGTATATTAAAATCGAACGGAAAGTTTCGAGATTTATTTTTGGTTCTTTTATTCATTACCTCATTTTAAACTGCTTATATACAGAATGTTCTCAAATGTAGTGCCTTGTTGTGGTCCAGTGATTCAGCACTTCTCTAAATTGTTTATTTATTTCGGCGGTATAACATGTTGCCTTTATAGTGTATATATTGAGCGCCCCCACATCTAAGGTAATATGAACAAAAAAGTGGACTGTGAAAGGTCAAAATAATAAAGCTTTGCGCCAAAGATGTAACACCTTCTAGCCTGACAATTCCTTCACACCCTACCCTACTTATGCCATAGAGATTGGGCTTCTGTCAGATGTGAGAAAAACAACCTTTATTCTATAACATTGTTTGACATGAAGTGTATGGTTACATTATTGTCTGTTTAAATGAAGTGTATGAATTTGGAATATGTTTTTCTACAGTAGATGAGCAAAAAACAAGGAAAAACAGATTTGAAAACTGGATATAAACAATACATTTCAGTTATTACATATGCAGATTTGTCTAGGTGGAGAATATTCCATTGTATAAAGAATATTCTATTCATTTCCATTTAGGTTTGTTCTGAATTTGATTACACAGTTAGGGTTATTTCACGGTTTATATGTCAAAATACTACTATCTATCCAGTTGGCACCTGAGTAAAATAATATTAGACACCCTGTGTGTTCCTATATAATGACAACTTTATAATATTTGTTGGCAATAGTCAAAAAGATGTTTTAGACTAGTGAAAGTGATAAGAGTGTGTAAACTTTGTTTTATTCCAACAAAAACATGTTTTTTTTCATAATATGTCATGAAACATACAATGTCAAATCCTTCTTTAATTTAGCCAATAAATAAAATAATATGATAACTGACAACTTTTCTGATGTTTCAGATATCACAACAGCCTTCTTCTAGGTTTAAAATTAAAAAAATGTAGTCTGGGTTTTCGTCATAAATTGCTATCCCCCGCTCTTCAAAACCTTCCTTTACGTTTGTGGGCTGAGAGTCGATCCAGCCTTTAAGTGAGGGAGGAGTCACTTAGTTTCTCACTGTATTATAGAAGCAATAACATATTAGGTTATGGTTTTTTTTTTTGGGGTGGCTTTAGCCCTATAGCCACCACTAAACCTCCCTCCCCCCTGGATGCGCCACTGCCGTGACTATAACTATTGCCTCTCTCTCTGGTACCAATGCCCGTGACTGAACTACTTCTAGCTGTCGAATTAATTTTCGCAAGTATTTTTGGACCAACGCATCGCCGGCTTTTCCGTAGACGGTTCGGGCGGTGTGTTGGCAGGCTATCGGTCGAACACCAGCTGCTGCTGCTGCTGCGAGGAGGATGCGACTTCCTAATGCGTCGTCTATTTCGGCACCAACCAGGGTGTTTGAACGTCCTTGGGCCGGCCCTGTCCGGTCACGTGACCAGTCCGCGGCCGAGGAGCGACCTTCGCTTCGTGTACGGTACGATCGCCGTCGCCATCCGCTGTGCATACCTGTCACCGGTACGGCGTTGCCGGTTTGCCGGAAACCGCACCGCACCTGCGGAAAGGTGCGCCCGGTTTCCAATACTGGTTGCATTCTTTCGTAACGTTTAGGGTTTGCGTACGGGTGACGTTCTACCGGATATGTCCGCGTTTTTGAGAAGACTGAGCGATTGTTCTGAGCGGTACCAAAACAAAAATTTTATGTCTAATGTTTACCAAAAACAACATCTTTAATCTGTCCTAGAAACACATATTTCAGGTTAGGTACTCAGGCTGCCCAGCCGCCAAAGCCCTCGAGAATAATGAGTATTTGGGAAGAAAAAATGAATAAAAAAAACAAATAGTTTGGAGCTCCTAAAATAAGCCAAATATTAACTGTTTGACTTATTGGAACACTTTATAAACTTGAGATACTGGTATTGTGAAACATTTAAAATGATGTGAATTACGTAATTTTACGAAAAAATGATGTAAAAATAAATGAGTAAAATTGAGTATGTAGAGGCTTGACATATTCATAAACCTGTATTTTGATGACATTTGGTTTAGTTACTAATACTAGTTAGACCGCAACTCATGTAAATGTTTAGCTTCTGGAATACAGCATATATCAAAAGTAAAACTTACAAAATAATTTTTTCTTCAACAACCATATAATTCTAAGGAATACAAGAGAGGCAATATAAAATCAAAAAACTGAGACACGAGCATAAAACAAAAATATCTTAAGAATATGCTGTATAGTAGGAATTAATAAAAGCATGCTGAATCATCACCAGCTGACTGTCAAGGTGTAGTCAAACTGTCCCAATGGTGTGGACTACATTGTAGGTTTAATTATTTTTTGACCATCCTGGGATATTGCTTGTTATTTGTAGAAATAAACCACAGGAGTCAGATTTCATCTACATTTGATGTATGATGATTATACTGCGACATATGCTCTCATTGTTCTGTTTATGAAATTCTGGATAAGCCTAAATCAGCAGTTCTGCACGCATGAGGTACTGTATTGTATAGGTCATTTGTTTTGCACTAGTGTGAAGGAGATTGGTCTTGGACAAAGAAATGCTATAATCAAAGTAATGCGTCAATCTCACAATCAACATTATTCATTCAACATTTTAATGCAACATTTATTGCAATTAAATATTTGGAATTAATTTATTGTTGCAACAATAACAATTGTACATTAATTTATTATTAATTTTAAAGCAATTTGATAATTTGCGTTATTTGTTGTAATATTTGTAATGTAAATGTGAATATTTTTTGTGAGCTATGCTCATGGCATCAATACACCTCTTCAAAAGATTAGATTAGCATTTCAAAAATTATCAAACAATAAATCACACAAACCATAACAAATCTAATTTGAGCAGTAGCACAAGAAATACATATTTCAAAAGATATTTCCCAGGATAAAAAGTAGCCTAAGTGCTATTCCAGTCCATAATCTATCTGTACCAAATTTCATCCAGATCCATTCAGCCATTTTGCATGATTGAGTTACAAACATCCAGTGGCGACGCGTAACTTTTCCTAAACTGTTACCAAAAACAGTAAATTTTGAACTTTCGACATTTCTAGATGTTTGGAATATTTTTGATCTTTTTTGGCAATGAATGTTAACAATTCCCTGTAATTTCCTCTATTGTTAGAGTCATCCCCTTCAAAATGAACGGTAAAACCTGTTTTGCCAAAAAACATATGGTATCTAGAAGTGTGCTGCCTAAAAGCTTGGTTAAGAGAACTTTCGATTCTTGTTCTGGCAAACTGAATTAAACTGGCTACACATCTCACATGTAAAGGAGAAATTTCATGTCTCCTCTTTAGAGCCCTAAAACTACTTAAATCGTTGACTCCGCTGCTGGTCCACCCATTTTTTTCTGTATAAAACAGAAGACCCAACAATACAATCTGTTTTTTTGCAACCACATAACCAAGAGTTTCCAAATACCAACTTAATTTAAAATATCAAACTACGTAGCGACACTCATCCATCTTTAATTAACGCACACTACAGCCGGTAACCAAAACGGCTATTGACGAGTGAGAAGCGAGTAACCAAATCAAAAAATGGTAACAAGCCCACATAATAGTCGCCGCGCCCCACTCACTCGGGCGGCCCCGATCAGACACGAGCCGGTACCGGCGGTCCCCGACGGACTACCAAGTGTATCCATAAATGAAAATGGTAACAACCGACAACCAAGTCGAGGCGAGTCAGCTTCATCGTGTTCGCAAAACCTAGACAGTTTAGGGCGCATTATTTTCATGGTGCTAATTTGCTATTTACTGAATTACTATTACATATTGCTGTTGGTAAACAAATAAATGAGAAATTATTTCACAGTACTTAGTCATAAAATAGTTATTTTTCAGATTTTTAACTGTTACCAATGGTAACAATGGTTACATGGACGCTTCGCCACTGCAAACATCCACACTTTCTCATTTATAATATCAAGTAGGGCTTCCAACACTTTCATAAATTCACAGTATAGTGCTTATTTTGACATTTAATAAATGCCAACAGGACATCTTGAAAAATGCCAACAGCATGTCATGAAAAATGCCACCATAAAATTGAACACAATGTGAGTTTGATTATGTTGTATCTAGGGCATCAAACTTGGCTTAAAACATGTTTATTTTGAAGCTTAGGATTAGGAATGCATATAATCTGTAAAGTACATTTGGCAAGATTGCCTACCTCTGTCTGCCCCAGCATAGGTGTTCCCACAAAACAGGTAAGGTTGGTCTTCTGGAAGAATGGACTGTAGTGCAGTTAAGGTGGTAAAAATATGCCCATGAAAATTTATTTGATAAGTTCACTCAGTGTTTATATGAACATTTGTTTTATACTAATTACTCAGGGCATGGACCAAATCAATGTCCCAGTATGTCCATTGATAATTATTTTGAATCCATTCAGCTTATTTATGTGGTTATTAAGATCTAGGACATCAAAAATGACAATATGTTCTTTGCAAAAACACAAATATCTCAAAGCACCAAAATATGGTACAGTTCTATTTAAAAAACCATTTACTAATTCTGAATACTTCTACCCAATGATTATAAACTCTTAAAAAAATAATTTTGCTATCATTTTCAAGTAATAAAAAACAATCACCAAATATGTAAATTGCTATTACTAAAGAAACATTTTTTATAGTTTTTGACATTTAAATGGCTTAATTACAAAACAAAAATATCTTTCAAGCTCATCTATAACAAAACTGCCTATTATACAATTTATATTTTACACTTTCCTGATTCACCTTCATTCAGTTTTGATGAATAGATTCTTTTGTTACTATTAATGTGACAAATATTTATATTTTCAAGAATAATATGTTGTTAGCTGTATCCATTTTTCCTGTATTAAAACACAAATACCGTAATCTGTAATACCTCCCAATCTGGCAACATAGCGCGCAAAGACTTTTTCAGGCTGTCAAGACACGGTGATTGGGTGAATGACTGTACTTACATTTTATAAGCTCACCTTGGGCTCAACTTACAAAATACCTTCTATTTTGTAATTAACATTTTCATTATTAATTGAAGAACTAGGCTACAGTTTACGGAACATCCATATTGTATGCTGAATTAATCAATTCCAGTTGACTTTATAAAATAAGTTGTTAACATACCTATCGTCTGTCATACTGGAAATATCTTCAGACACCTATTTCAAATGAAGAGTCCAATATGAAAATCCACAAAACCGACTGGAAAAGTTGAATGTTAAGCAATATCAATATCAATTTTCACTTTCACAATGTATACACATCTGAGCCACTCATTAGCCAGAGTTTATTGACTTCGCCTCAGGTAAAACTCTGCTTGATTGTAGCAACAAATTTTTACACATTTGCACATTTTGGTTAACAGCAAGGTGGCTTTCTCTTATGCATGCGATATGCACCCGAGTTTTCTATCGGTTCTGTACTGATAAAAACTTGAAAAGTCACGATCTGCGGCGACGTATGTTCGCTCCAAAAAAAGCAACACAAAAAATCAACCAGTTCACGAATTTCACGATGGCATCGTCTGTACAAACAATGGAAATAAAAAATGTCGCTGCTGACACCTGTCGGTGACACGAGATAACGAAACCGCCCGCTCATTTTCAAACCGCAGCGCGCCTGTCTATTCAAATGTTCAGACACCTGCTTATATCTTTGAGATATGTAATATATGAATACTACGTTGACGTAAGTATTAATACCATAATTTCGGACAACTGTGGATATACTATCGGATAAAAAACAATCCTTAAATAATGTATGTTTGGGATTTAAAGGGATTGTTATCATGGATATTAAATTACCCGCTCTGATTCCCCACTAAGAGCCAGTGATGTTGAGCGCAATGTTGTCAGCTCTAAAATCTTGACATAGTAATATAGTAATTGCTCTACTTTCATAACGAGAACAACGGTACAAGTTTTTAAAATGTCATGTATATTAAAAATTAAACATGCTCGCTATTATCTAGGAAGTGGAAAAACTTTGACATAACAAACTGTTTTTATTTTATTTTAAGCAACTGTCTTATCTACCTTTTTTAGCTTAATCAGAAGGGCCAGTGGCGATTGCCCTAGTTATAGGCGACTAAATTTGATATGCCGAAACGAATTCGAATAGATTAGAAGGGGCCAAGCCTATACATATGTTTACATTACATTATTTGTCAGCAAAATTGCCAAGTTTTAGTGCACATTTTTGACTCATTCAGATGAATACCTACAAAAGTGACAGCATTGCATCAACCTAATAATAATAATACCAGTGGAACCATCTACCTTCTTTAGGTTTGTGCCGCTGTTTGCGCTAGTTATGTATGAAATACCATATGTCTTAAAATTGTCTAACAGAGCCACATTTATCTGGAAACACTTATACTTATAAAAAATAACACTAAGAATACAAAGACAGAACTGTCAAAAAATTGACTTATTTCAAGTGCACTTTAATCTTCACTGCAGACTATGAGAGTTAGGGAACAAACAAATGCTTGCTTAACTGCTTCACCTAGTCTGATCCCGTTGTTTGGAATTAACAGGTGCCATAGGATCTTTTTGGGCTGGGGAAGCATTTTTCATACAGAGTGTTACTTATTGATAGGCCGTAATTACAAAGGCGTATTCCTGAAGCAAATGTAAGTAGAAAAGTTCTTATAAACATGTGTCCTAAAGCGTCTGGTTTCCGAGATACAGAGTGTTTTTATCAATATCTCAAAGATCTATGTGCCGATTTTGTTGCATTTTGGTAGTGTTGTACAACGCAATAAGACGGTAAGTTATCACTAAATAGAAGATCATTATACATCCAAGTGGTATCTCGTGTGCCGTCTCACGAATAATATTGACAAACCGCCATTGACTTTTTTGAGAAAATGATTTTTTTTAAGTAGCTCACGATAAAGCTTTTTGTCTCTCAGTATCCCTTCGTCCTTCGTATCCTACTTTGTTATTGAGGGAAAAAAATAAACTACTCTAAAACAAGTCGAAAAATTGTTAAAATAAAATCGACTTAATTTGATCGATGCACAATGTAACGTATGTATTGATGTCACTTTTTGAAATGTAAGGAATAAAAAGTAACAAATTTAAAATTTTCTTTACAAAAAATGTTGGAAAGGACTACCTACCGCCTTGCAGGCTTCTGCTCTCATAGCTTAACAATTTTCCAAGATGCGATAAAGTTGTTTTTATCCTTGCCTCGGAAACGAAGTAGTACATGAAGTGATACCAAGAAACAAAAAAAGTTGTATTATTGGCTTCTTAATCCGAAAAAAAAACATTTATTTAAAAAAGTCAGTGATGTACAGTTCAAATCGAGAAAATCGGCCCAAGATCTTTGAGATGTTAATAAGAAATTCAAATTTTATAAAACTTTGACATCCTGAATCTTGAAAACCAGACGTTTTAGGACACATATATACAACTTTCCTACTTAAATTTGGTTCAGGAATACTCCCTTTTGAATTATGACCTATCATTAAGTAACACTATAATAATTATACCCATGGATTTTCGTTTTCCACAATCGTTTTATCGAACCCATTATTTCATGAAAAATCGATTGACTCGTTGTTGCCACTGGGGATTCACCATTCACAGATGAGACTTTTTTTATTCTAGTTTACCATTTCTTAATACAGGTGGATGCACTAATCACAAACATTAATCAGACGATAAATCTGGCAACCCCCATAATCTTATATGACATTTAACAGATGGCGCTGTAGTTTGTCAGCGACATGTGACATCAAGTGTCAGTTTTTCAATGGAAGATGAAGAACTGTCATAATAATTACCTATTCCTATTCTCCTGAATAATACTACTTTAAGCTTTAAAAGCCTATTCATTGAAATTTCAAGTGATAGCAATAGAATATGTATGTATCTTTAAGGTAAGCATCATTTTAAATTAGTCTAACAAATCGTGAATCCAATCTTTCATATTAGAGGGGCTATTTCATTGTGTTCACTGATCTTTCAGTTGCAATTTACAGCAATCCTTTTTCTGTATATTAAATGTTGATAATATTTTTCAGTGTGATGTGATCAGTATATTAAAGGACAGTCATAATGTCAGCCGTAAGACATAATACAAGAAGTCCAAATAAAAATACACTATTAAAAGTGGTGATACTGGGTGATGGAGGGGTTGGAAAAAGCTGTCTTATGAACAGATTTGTCTCTAATCAATTCGACGAGCATTCCTTCCATACGATAGGTGTAGAATTCCTTAATAAAGATGTGGAAATAGATTCAGAAACTTACACATTACAGGTTGGTTCTGCAAAAACAGGTATCACTTAAATTGAGGCCAATGCCAAGTTTTTTGCAAATATTGTTAATAAGAAACAGCATAATTTTTGCATGTAGTTTCTAAAATTAATCTGCTAGCATTGTACCACTTACTTAAAAACTCCTTTGCATATTTTTAGATTTGGGACACTGCAGGTCAAGAGAGGTTCAAAACTTTAAGAACTCCTTTTTATAGAGGCAGTGATATATGTATGCTGACATATGCTGTGGATGATAAAATTAGCTTTAAAAACCTGCAACTGTGGAAAAATGAATTTTTGTATTATGCAGATATCAAAGAAAATGCACAATTTCCATTTATAGTAATTGGTAACAAGGTATGATAATTTTAATATCTTATACTGTACAGATTCACTTTGGTTTGAATGTTTTAAAGAAAACAAAGTGTGAATAAAATGTCTGTACCTACAATATATCTAATCATTATTCTTTGTAAGATATTGCATTTTTTTTTTCAAACAATTTCTGAGTATGTTCAAAATTACACTCTCAACTTTGTAGACTGAAATCCTACTTAGCATCAAACTTACAATAGGTTGAACATTCCTAGTTAACCTATGTTAATAAGATGTATGTATGTAGAAACATTCACATTTACTTCTATACCATATTAGTCAAAGATTTTTTATTTAATGATTTATTTGACTAATCTGATAAGATTATTTAAAACAGTTGTCAAATACTGCCAACTTCATAGTATCTTTGTTTATTCAAAAACAAGAAATTATATTCTAAGGGCTTTCAAATATTGTTTAGCAGAAAGCTTACAAAAGACCACTGATATCAGTTGAAGTACTCGAAAATAAATTTGACAAGCAAAAAGTATATGTCAAACAGCACTCTTTGAAATCACATCATGTTTCTAACCTGTGGAGCAAGCCCTAGTCTTCTAAAATTAGACATTAGGCTTTTAAACTTGTGTTTTTGAAATAAGTAAAAAAATTATATTGGAAATAACCTCTCATTTTAATTTTTTTATTTTTTTGAACTGTTGCAGTCTGATGTTACAAGTGAAGAAAGGGAGGTAACACAGCTGGAGATGGAGATGTGGTGTAATGAAAATTCCATAACCTCATGCATAGAAACTTCAGCAAAAAATGCCAGCAATGTTCATGAAGCATTCAAAATGGCTGTACAACATTGGTTGAGACTAGAAAACAGGGCAGACAGGAATGAGCCTCATATAGATGATACTGTTGACTTGACTAAGAAAAGTACTGCAAATAGAACCTCATGCTGTATAGCTACTGGAGATGAATAGTTTCTATGAGGTATTTTTTGAGCCAGTCAATAGAAATTTTCCTTAAAATTTCATTACACAGAATATGTCTCCTTGTATAATTGTATTTTTTATCCTTGTTCTTTTCAAAACCAATTAAAATAGACAATAGGCATATAAGATTCTATCTATATATGGAAGTCATTTTTCAAAAAATCCAGGAGATATAAAACAATTTTAATTGAGAATTGAATACCATAAACAGAAAGCTATGTTATCTAATGTTTAAATTATATATATTTATCTACTATTGATTGGCTTATAGCTGCCGAGTTTCATTATAAAAAGTGTTTCTTTATTGTGATGCCATATGCTAGATGATTTTTCACTGTTTCTACCAGTAATTTAGGACTTTTACACCAGCAGTATTTTTTATAATGGATACCAAAAATATTGTTACTTATTTTTATATATTTATTTTATAAGTTGACAGAAGCAACCCAATTGAAATTTTATACTCATCACAGCTTTGATCTTAATGCTTAATTTTTGTAAATATATCAATTTCTGTGGCATGATGCTATATGCATCTCATATAGGAAGTGAGCAATAATATGAGTATGCCAGAGTACCCTGTATTTTTGAGAACAATTTTGCAAATCTAGATCTTATCTAGTTTTTTATTGTTGCACGAATATTTCGCACTAGAAGTTTAGAGTCAATCTGTTTGATATCATGATAATTTATTATTATATACTGGTGTATTCATGTTTTTGGATCACCATCCATTATATCACTGTGGGTTTTCAAGAACTCATGTAAGATTATAATTTATGTTGACTTGGTGCTACAAAAATGGTCATAGTATTTCTGTACTAGGGTACACACACAATATGAACTCAATATGGAAAAGATAGTCGACACATAGTCTCTGAAAATAAGTACTTTTCATCATAAAAGTAATTTCTGAAAATATAAGTGGAATTTTTAATGCATTTTCTAACCTTAAAACGCACGAAGTGTATATAGAAAAAGCCTAGCTTTATACCATTTGTACTGCAATGTGTCTTATATAGGTGATATTGTAGGTATGTATCTATAATAAATTATATGTTGTTTATAAAACATTGCTTTATTTCCCTGAATAAATTATATACATAGGATAACTAAAGTAAAGCATTCAAACAAAAAGAACTTATCTAATCGAATGATGACCAAATGATAAGATGGCATTCACCAAAATTGGTATATCAGCTTTTAGTCAAACCTTGCTTAGCTCCAAAATTCTCGGTATTAGGTTGCGGTCAGAGTGGCACCGTTTACGGCCGAATGTTTTGGCCGAAGAAGATGGTCTGTATGGCTCCATTTTCGGAGAACACATTTGAAAGGTTCTGCCATAGTTCTCTCTACTCGATAGTTAGCTTTTATTTTGCGTTTGTAGCTACACGAACTTACAGACCCTTTTATCTGCTGAAACGAGTACCGCCTTAAAGATATTATTAATGAAAAAGAAGAAATATCACACTAACTACATTTTTCGCTCCAGGACAAGATTTGGAGAATATCATACCCTTTTTCCGCAACTACTGAAGCAACCAGCAACATTGTTTGAGTATATGAGACAAGACAAGAGCAGCATAAAAGATACGCGACACATTTAAACTATATTTTAACACTGTAGGAGCTATGCGCAGTAGTTATGATTAATACTTAACAATATTCTTGTACACTATTTTTTACTCCTTTTGATTTCGTCCGATCTCCGAAAAATTCGGCCGCACTTGTCGGTCGAAATCGGATGTACTGTGACCAATAGAATACCAAGAAAATAAAATGATCGGAGGAATCGGGCGTACACGGCCGAAAACGGAGCCACTCTGACCGCAGCCTTAATGTAAGGTAAGTAGGTATCATTTTCACATCCTGAACTATGGAAAATTTCAACTGATATCCCTTTTGACTAAACGATTTTCAGGAAATAGCTATTTGCATCCAATTGCAAAAAATGCGATAGAAGATCCATACGTGTAACTACCATTTTGACAATGTAAAATGCTTTATTCAAATAAGTCACAATTTTAGCTGTCCATTGAAAAATTTCATCATTGTGCCTAATTTCCTTTGTTAACAGCTGACACGAAATTTATCTGGTGTAACAATAACTGTACAAAACTGCATAAAGTTGAAACTAGCAGACACATGAAATTATCTGCTCAAAACTCTGGTATAGCTTGTCAAGACTCAATAGATACGAGGGTGGTCTGAATAGTTTCCCACCTCAATGTGAATATGGCAGCACTCGTAAATAAACGCTAGTGAATTTCGTTGTTCATCTGTTGACAGTTACTTACCAAAGTTTCAGCCATTTTGGACGAGCAGTTGTTATGTAACAGTCGTTTGAGTGAGTGTTTTTGTGAAAATGAACAAAATCGAGTATCGAGCTGTCAATAAATATTTGTTTTTTCTTTTTTATATATATACTAAAGCAGCCGCGCAGGCAGAAGCCTAAATACCGGGACACCGCGGCTACTATGAGGGTTCCAAAGAAATTTTGTTGATCTGATTTTTGAACTGTCCAAGGTTGATAGAACTGGGAAAAGCATCATCTTGTAGATTGTTCCACAAATCGACACCCTCGGGACAAAGGAGCGGTCGTATTGGCCAGTTCTGGACGTACAAAGTTCGACACGGCTAGGATGGGAGGCCAAAGTCAGGCGGGTGTGTCTAGCAGGCACATCACGTGGCGGCATCATGGTAGAGACCTCTGAGGACAAGAGCCCGTTGCGGTAGAAGAGCTAGATTGACGACGTCCCGCTGGTGCGAAGGAGTCCCGAGACTGTCTGTTAGAGAAGTCATCGATCAGTAGGACAGCCCTCCTCTAGACAGCATCGAGCATAAATAATGTAGTTGGAGCGGCAGTACCACAAACGTGTGAGCAATACTCGAGGCTAGGCCTTATCTGGGCATTGTATAGCGTGAGAAGGTCATGCGGAGAAAAGTACTTCTTAGCCACAAACAAATAGCCTAGCTTTTTTTCAGCAGCTGTCGCTATTGACGAGATGTATTCGTGCCAGATCCTCGTTGATCTGAACTCCGACCAGCCGAAATGAACGGCTCTTTGGCAGAACTCGACCATCCATCCATCCGCTTTTTGTTCGTCAAGCTACTGCACTGTGGTTTGGAAGAATTAAACTGTTCAAGATTGTTGCGTCCAAAAGCAGTGATAACCTCCAGGTCCCTCGTCAGAGAGGAAGTCGTTGCCAGTCTTATTTTTTCCAGCTCAGCGGCAGAAATCGGCCTGACGAATTCCTGCATGTAGAGTACTGTCATCAGCGAACCTGTGGATTGGGTTGATCGTGCAGGAAAGGAGGTCGTTGATATGTAAGAGGAACAGTGTTGGAGTCAAGAACGATCCCTGGGGAACACTCGCGTTGACGTTGTAGGATGAGAAGAACCCATCAATTGCGACGGATATCTTTCGGCCAGAGAGAAAGTCAGCCATCCATCTGGAAAACATTTCTGGGAGGCCATAGAATGGAAGTTTGCATAAGAGGGCAGCGTGCCACAGCTGGTCGAACGCTTTCGTGATATCAGGAGCAACGACATGAACCTCACCCTAAGACAGGATGAGTTCACTCCACAATTGCGTGACGTAAGCTAGGAGGCCCCTGTGGATCGCTGGTGCCGGAAACCATACTGCCTGTCGCTAATGAAGCCATGACTTTCGGGGTAGTCCAGAAGCTCGCTATTTATGCACCTCTCCATCACCTTACTTATAACATAAAGCAGAGCTATAGGCCTATAGTTGTGAGGGTCGGTCTTCGATCCTTTTTTGCGATAGGTTGAACATGAGCAAATTTCTAGATTTCTGGGAAGGTGCCTGATTTATAAGATATCTGGAAGAGACGCGAAATAGCTGGAGCAAGCTCCGCTGCTCACCTCTTCAGTACAATGGCAGGAATCAAGTTCGGAACAGAAGCTGTGTTGATGTTGAGCGACAAGAGCACCTGTCTTACGGTCTCATGCCTGAATGTTACTCCCCGCATAGTGTAGGGAACCCTTTGGATCGACGGCACTTGCGCGTTGGGGGGGACATCCATGGTGGAGTTGGCAGCAAAGATCTTTGCAAGCACTTCCGCCTTGGCCTTTGAGTCGGTTACAATTGCTCCATCTTGACTCGTAAGTGGTGGAAGGCTACTATGTGACAAGTTCTTTTCAATCTGCCATTGCGCTGCGACATTGCCCTGTTCCTAACTTATTTGTTTCTGGAGTCGACGTCGGCTTGTCTGTTCTCTACAGTGGGGTTTTGTAAGAAGGTTTTGGGTGCCTTGATCTTCTGCTGGCGAGTGTCACACGATTTGCTGAACCAGCAGTTGGACACTGGCTTAGGCACTTTCACTGTATGAGGGATGTATCCCTGAATTCCGACGTGGATGATTTCGGTTATCGAAAAACAGACAGCCGACGCATCCGCGTCACCGAAGCAAACATACCTTCAGGGAAAGGTAGAGAAGTCTCTGAGTCTCTCCCAGTCGGCATGTCCGTTATGCCAAATTTTGCGGCCTGGGCGGGTTTCTGCTGCCACAGCGAGTTCTGACCGAAACCTAACCTCCACAACACCCTGGTCCGCGTTACCCAGTGGGGACAGGACAGCAGTGCTGTAAGGGAAAGGATGCGTGGTCAGAAAGAGATCCAGCAGACTACTGGTATGTGACGAGACGCGGGGGAAATAAGTAGGACTCGTCACTAGCTGGGTCAGCCCTTGTGTAAGAGCGAACGTTTCAACTGCACGACCTGCTGCATCGGTCTTGTTTGAGCCCAACCAAAGCTCATTATGGGCATTGAAATCACCGAGGATAACTACCTCTGAAGCTGGGAGATTGATGTTTAGGAAGTCGATCTTGACGGCGAGGTATTCAAGTAAAGTAGGCCATCCCAGTTATGGTCCGAGGGAGAGCGATAAAGGTAGCAAATAAATTTGGGGGATGTTTTAGAGTTGAGGCGAAGCTACAGAATACCCTTCCGGTCTGATTCCAATGAGACATCTCTGGAGCGGACAAAAGCCACAACTCATCCGATCTTTCTCAGATTGGAGTGCACCTCGTAATTTGGGAAGCTAAGATGGTTAATCGGTGAACTCTGAGAATTTTGTCTCCGCCAAGAAAAGCATGTTAATCCCGCAGATGTTCGTGAAACAAATTTTATCTTCGATGTTGTTTCCTCGAGTCCACCATCTACCCGGACATTCCGAGAGTGGAGTGAGTTTACGTCGAGAATTCTTAGTACTCGAGAGATACTTCATCATTCATAATTAATTTATTTCTTCGACTGGTCCTTGTCTACCACCTTCTTTTTGCGTGTTGATTATCTTAAATGGACCTGAAGTGGCTCCTTGGGGTCATGCTATCTTGTTCGGGTCAGCGCCCCTAGACCGACTGCCTGCGCCACGGCTCAAGGAGGCCGGTCTACCCCTTGACAGCCGCCCACCTTCGGATAGACGCTGTCAAAATCCTCTCGCAGAATGATTTCCGTCATGGGGATTGGTTACCCGATTTTGGTCAGTCATCCCGAAGAGACCCTGACTACTTATACCGGAAGTCGTCGGTCGCCATTTCCTCCGCAGTTATATAATAACAACGGAGTTAGGTTAGGTTAGGTTTCTTGTGAGTGCATCAATAACGATCCTCCACTGCGACTCTGGTCTATTGTGGGTCACACCTATTTATATTAACCCCAGTAGCTCCGACCTCCTGAGGAAGTCGATTAACTTGTTTGGAGAAATATAATTCAGGTCTTCTACTGGGAGTACTATGTCTCCAAGTATGTTGTACCTGATTCTGGCAATTGCAGGGCATCTGCACAATACATGCCTGACCATTTCATCTCCCTCCGTGCACAGTCTGCTCATGTGGTGACGCAATTTGGATTGACCAGTGTACAGTGCAACTAGAGCTTTAAGGCTATTTGTGTTCAGCCGTAGCAGAGTCTATTACCTTCTTTGTCAAGATTGGTATAGCTGCCTTAGCATGGGTTAACCCTGCTAATCCCTCCCAATATTTATAGCCTTATTGTATGTGATCCCAATCGCTGGCTCAGGCCCTATGAATGGTGTGCTAGCCCCACTCTTTGCCAGAGTGTCAGCTGTCTCGTTTCCCTCTAGACCTGTGTGTCCTCGTATCTATATGAGGCGGACTTTATTTCCCTCCCCTATGCCAGCGAGAGCTTCTTTGCAATTCCACACTAATATCGAGGTCGAGTCAAGTGCTTTAAGTGTGGCTTGACTAGCTGACAAAAAAAATTATAGTTCTGTGTCTTAGTTATCGTTCTGCGATCATTCTGGCACCCAGTTCTATAGCATATAGCTCTGCCTGGAAGATCGTTGCCCAGTTTCCTAGGCCAACAGATTTTTTAATCTTTAGCTTCGGCACGAAGATACCAGCTCCAACACCTATCTCAGTCTTGGAGCCATCTGTGTATGCACATACCTATATCTTTCCTTATCAGGCTAACTTGCTGTTCCCAATCATTCCTGTGTGGAATTGTCACTAAGTAGGGTTTAGCATATCTTGTTATCTTTGACATTATATCAGAAGGTGGGGTGGTTTGGTAAGTTCACCAGCATGTCCGTGTCTTCCATAGTAATATTGTCCATTATACCATTTGCCACATGATGTAGTTATAAGATATCCTTCTTGCCTCGCCTTCCAGGTATATGTGCAAAGGAGGTAAATTAACAAGGACCTCCACAGCTGCAGTTAGTGTGGTATGAAAGGTACCAGTGATCAACATACAAACTTCTCTCTGTATTGTGCTCAGTTTGGCTTGGACAGTTCTCTATGCTGCCTTGCCCCACCAAGCTACAGATCATAGGTTATCATAGTTCTAGTGACCATGATATAAAGCCAAAACATTTGTTTAGGCTTCATTCTCCAGTTCTTTCCACAGACCCTTCGGCAGTTGCATAGCGAGATCATTGCCTTCTTAAGGACTGCTTCCAGATGCGAATTTCAGTTTAGTTTTTTATCTAAGATTATTCCTAGATATTTCGCCTCTTTTGCAAACGGTACATTTTCACCTTGGAGTACTATTTGGACGGGTTACAGAGATGGGAGCATCGCTTGGAGAAGTGTGTAGAGTTACAAGGAGACTATGTTGAAAAATAAAAAATAGAAAAAATGTCTTGTATCTTTGTTAGTTCGGAAACTTTTCAGACCGACTTCATAAACCAATAGCCAACCACCATATTACTTGGTATTCAATGTGTTGTTGGTAGGCCACATAACAAATAAACCTCATCATATATTATAAACAGAGTTTTTATGTTTTTATTTCTATAATCAAATATTTCATTAACATAATTTTAATCTTTCACAACTATAAGGGAAATGATTGATGGTCATTGACATTGAAATTGAGACTTCATGATTTATAAAATTTGTTCTTAAAAGTACTGAACCTTAATGAATTTCAATCCTGTACAAATTACCACCTCAGATGTGGCTTGTGTTGCACGATATGCCTGAAAAAAATCCAAAGTTAACTAGTTTTGAGATTATCTACAGCAAATTGAAAAAAAAAATATTCAAAAAGATAAACTTTATCACTTGACAAAGTTTAAAATGCCAACTTACTTGTCCAATTTTTCCCAAAACACCATTAGTGCGGCTCGATCTAAATGCCTCTTTGTCCTGGATAGTTGGATGACAGTCACAGCCCATTTCTCGACATTTGGGTCCATTTTCATTTCATCATATTTCAGGTGGAAGGCAGCAACTGAAAGAACATCAAGTTATGTTTGAATTTACAACGATTCCGACGCGAAATATGCATCACAGGAACATTTTTAAAACCAATACGAAATAGATTTATTCTCAGAATACCTCAACGACGAAAAAGGAAATCCTATAACATGCGGCAACAGTCTAAAAAGCAGCAACGCTTGCGACTAAAGACGGTGTTCGACGCGTATACAGGGTCCAAGATAAGGACCCTATGCATGCAGATCTTAATAGGGGGGATATACTATCTCAAGTGTTGCTTCTAAGTAATGCAAACGACTAAATTATTACTTAAAAAAATCATCTTGAGCAATAATTGCTTGAATCTTTCCAAAAAGGTAAACCTAGTAGTTTAACATGTTCATATATATTTTCAAATCGCCGTGGAAGATTCCATATAAATGAAATGCAAATAGAAAGAAAAATATCAAGCATAGTAGTAGTATGTAGATATGATTTGTGAAAATTTTTTGAGCTGGGTACGCCCTTAGTAACGATCAAATATTAGTCTTCCCAGACTTACTTTTATCAAAGATTTCGACGGGTGTATCCCATGGATAACCTTTGAACTGCCAGGCGGGTCCCATGACAAACACTGCCACCACTCTGTCCCAATCGCTAGGAGATAATTTGGCCGGATTGTCGACCACCCTATATGGAACAGACACCCCGTTACGTATGCGATGGACCAATACTTCATTATCTCTTTTGCCGCCTTGAGCCTTTTTCTGCTCTTGAGTGACAAATCTGCAAAAAATAAACCACATTGAAAAACCGCATCACATCTGCAAGAAGGTATTTACCAAAGTGATGGAACATTATAGGTGCACGCTGATTGAGGGGAAGGGAAGCGACAATGCCCCCATTTATGCACGCGACTTGAGACGCGTGACAGTGTGTTTCTATACCGAAGCAGCTGCGCAGACAACGAATGCTATGAGGATTCTAAAGAAACTTTGTTAATCCGAATTTTGAACTGCCTAAGGTTGGAACAACTGGGTAATACCTCGTGTAGATTGTTCCACAATATAGACACCCTAGGGACAAAGGAGCGGTCGTTTCGGCCAGTTCTAGATGTACGAAGTTCGCCATGGTTAGGATGAGAGGCCGAAGTCAGGCGGGTCTGTCTAGCATGCAAATCGAGCGGCTTGAAATTTGACTGTCTCTTTCTGGCTTCATTGCCAAGCACGGTTGAGTGACATCTCTCTTTCTGACTTCACTGGCCATGCTTGCATCATAGGTAGCTAAGCACTTATATGACACATAGCACACGGTGTAAAGAGGCACATAACAACATTTACTCACAGAACTATTGTGCTCTCTGGGTATCTAACACGGCCACGATGACACCATAGGTAACTTAGTGCTTGCATAGCAACAGAACACCATAGTTCAGGTTGTAAATGCTGTTCTGTGACCGCTTATACTATGAGCTATGGGTGGCTACCTACGCGTCAAACATGGGCATTGTTTATTGACAACTTCGTGCGATACAAAGCGCTGCCTTTCGCTTCAATGAACGTGCACCTTAAGGCTCCAAACATATATTATTTCTTGACAAATGTTTCCTTAAGTCAGAATGCGAGGAGTAGCCCAAAAGAATTAAGTAAGAGTTTGCCCACTAGACATTCTTGCTACAATCGATTCGATACTATACATTTTGCATTCTCCCCGAATCCTTTAGGGCTGCGTTTGGTATACTGAATTAAGAATTACGAGTACTGGTATATTAATTAGTACTAATTTTCTGCTGCTCTTTCAAGGTTTAAGTTCGGCTGCTGAATTTACATAGTTTTGTGCAGTTTCAATAAAATTGACTGTTTTGTTCCTGAGATAATTCCTGTAACATCTACATGGTCTCTTACGAGAAACTTGATACGTTTTCTATATCATTTCAAAAACGGATAATTTAAACTTAAAAGGCATAATGTTACCTCAATATTTGAGAAAAATCAGCTATTCATTTATGAAATATTTGTTGAGATGATGATAAATAATTGGTTTTAGTCATCGTTAGTCATTTCCCCATGATACATACTTATGTTTGTTTAAAAAATAATCAGAAATGATTAATAAAAATGAGCAGTATTAACGTCTAACTGCGAAGTTAAAGCGTCTATTCAGTTTTGCGAAATATTTAGCCAAAACATTGCCAAATCCATAGTTTCTGCCATATTCGATTGCCTGGTATTGAAACTGAGTACAGCATTTTGTTACTACTATACCCAAAGATCGAAGATTGGCAGTCACTCATCGCTGGTACCTTAGACCTCCATGGTGTGGGGAGAAGTGTAAGGGGTATTAAACCCATTAGAAAAAATTATATGGGCGTTCTTGTATCAAACTTTCACTTTTATCTTTATAAAATATTTATAAACGCGTTAGAAATATTCTCTTTGAGCTACGCCACTGAAATCAACGTATAGAAAGAACTGCCTCACCATCAGTGAGTGTTTCAGTTAGCAGTAGGGCAGGTGGAAGGGAGTGAAGAGATATGGACCAATGCCGTCGATGGTGGGCTCCTGTCAGTAATGTAGATAATTCCATATTAATACTTTAAACTACAAAACTATGTTTCATGAATTCCATGCCTGTCATCACAAAGTGTATAAATTGTCCTTTGTGATATACATATTCATAGTGCCACTACTGTTAATAGATATGAATATTTTTTTAGTTCCTACAAGTTTCAGTTTATATACTTATTTTGGTATTCCAGTAAATTCATATTTGAAATTGAAATTTTGATCTAGGGGTATAAGCGCGACAATTCGCCAGGTATTTCCGTGCTGGTTCTACATCCTATACTGTAGCATGCTGCAAAAACTATATGCAAAAACATATTTCATCCTTCTAGGTCTATTTACCTCAAGTCTTGTAAGATATCCTTGACATTGTACATTGTGATGAGCGAATTTGTACCAGCGGGTATAATCACAATAGGGGTTCTGGATACCCTCTTCTGGGGCCCAGTACCAGGTGGCGGTCTCGCAGCACTCACTGGCAATGGTGCTTGAGGCTGAGCTGGTTGAGGTCTGTTTGCTTTTGCAGATCCCTCTGTCACGGATTTGAGGGACATACCGTGGTATGTGCCCATGGTATTGATCTGGAAACCTTCCGTCTCTGCAATATGAATGATTGCAGTTGGTTAGCCAACCTACTCTTTAACATGAAAGACATATACTCAAATTAGTTTTACAAAGACAATTTTGAACATATTTGTGTATAACTATTTCCGTGAAATTATTCTTGAATCGTATAAAAGGTTTTATGGAAAAACATGGCAATATTTGTAGGATGTAGAGAAGATAAAAAAATGACAAGGGTCTTGAAATTAAAATATTGAAAATTTTTAAAAATATATATCTTCTGAGTAAATTTAGATATTACATTACAATTCTGTACATGTAGTACTAACATCATAACCTATACATAGGGTGTCCATATTTTTTCAGCAGGACAGTACTTTCTGCACTACTGCCCTTTAAAAGTTCATCAAGTACACCTAAATGTACTTTTTTTTTAATAACTGAAAAATGTAACAAATTTTATGCGAGTTTGTTGTTTTGTCTGCCTGGGATACTTGCATTGAAATGTTTCATTTTCTAAAGGATGGACCACAAATTCATAGTTCCCAAAAGTACGACTGGTACCAAAATGAAGATCCGAATGGTCAAGCTAGCATGTCAAAGGAAAAATAAATTAAATATTTACGTACATTTTTTAAAAAAAAATCTTTTGTTATATTGCTGCTGCATCTGTATTATGATAAAACATAAATGGATTTAGTTTGTTTGATTAAAAATGTGTTAGATTTGCACAAAAAATTGCTCTAAGCATCAGTGGTGATTATCCTTAAAAGTGTACTTATGGTCACCCTACCTCTACAGCAAACATTTTGTGCCTATACCAGTGACGTGGAAATTGGGAAAATTTTGACCCCTATACAAAAAAAAGAAAATTATCTTCTGTCACTGACTTGAGATATTTTTGACAGACTACTCCTTTTGGAGAAATATTCGTTTGAATATTTGAGGTTATCAGAATAAAACATTTCTACAAACAAATCTACATTGAAAATAACCTCAAGTTTGGTGGTTTGTAACAGCTACTTCTTATTTGTTTTCTATAACTACCAATACAGGTCAGTTGATGAATATGATATTTTATCAGATTTATTATTTGAATAGTATATTATGCACACCTTCTTTTTGTCTGTTGAATCTTTCCTGATCATATCTGTTGTACACAGAGGGTTGTGCTGTTGGTCTTATTGGTGTTTGTCTAGGAGTCACCTGGGGAGGTTGCTGAGATGGCCTCATTCGACCTTCTTCTCTAGCTTTTATACTGTGCAACATTGCTAGGATATTTTTTGCAAAAACCTGCAATTTGGTTATAAACAAAAAATCTATTAAGGATACATGGAAATTTCAGACAAATGTTTGAAAAACACATGTATAAACTACAAGTGAAGTGCTTCAAAACAATTCCTTGAAACACCTATCTCAAATCTCAATAGCTATGTAGATTTATGATAGTAACATTACATACAGCGCTTTCCAAAAGGGTGATACATGAATATTGTAATGTAAAAGTTGTTGAAAGTCATATCATTTTGAAGTTCCTTATAACTACTTTTTAAACTTAGAACATACATTTACTATGTTTTGAAATGATGAACTGGCAGATTGCCAAAGTTCACTTTTTTTTTGTACACTGAATTGCTTATAACAACATATCAAACTGATGTATCGGTTTTTTTCTTTTGGAAGAGTCTATCTGAATGTGCAATAAAATATGAGTAATTCAATTTTAAAAATAAAAAAAATACACTGTAGTGATATTTATAGCCTAGTAATTTGTCAGATTGTAGTATTGTTTTCTTACTTTTCCAGTAGACTGTAAGATTGTTGTTCTGGTTCTCCACTGCCTTTCTCTGCTGATAATATCTTTTGTAATATCTACATCTAAATCCAATATAGCTCTAATATCATGTTCTTGGTCAATATCATCATTCCCCTTGATTGTTGTTCTCTTTTTAGCCAAACGTTTTGCTTTGATTGCAGCTATTTTTTCTACTGACATAGCTTCAGAAAGTGATCTGAAAATGATAATAGTTTAAATGATGTTACACAATTCTACAACAATTTCACCTGTTAAAAGAAGCTGTGAATGCAGATAAATAATGATTGCACAATGTAGTTCCTTCATCTCAAGTTTCAAGTAAAAGTGTGTTACACTATTTCATGAACAAGTAACCTTGTTTTCAAAAGCGTATTTATATTATTATTTTTACTTTTTAGTATATGTGATGTCAAGTAAATAGTTTGGTAGTTTCTATATAACTTTCATGTTATGTATGTTTTATTAATAGAATTCCATAAAACTGCTTACTTTATTTGTGTTAAAGTTTGATAGATATAATCATAGGATGATCTTATTGAATTTAGAATGACATCATTTTGCTTTCTCTCATCAAGCCCTTTTATTTGATACCCACATCATAGAGATGACTGTACAAAATGTAAATCATCATTTGGTGCATCACCACATTGCCCTTTCATTTGATTCCCATATTCCGAGGGACTATGAAAAATGTAAATCGCCATTTTGCTGTGTCGCCATATTGGATTTAGAACAACGACATAGGCATGATATGGGTATCAAAAATGTAAATCACTATTTAGTGGCAACCACCATATTGGATTTAGAATGATGTCACATCACTTATGTTTCCCTCATTAGGCCCTTTCATCTGATATCATATAATAAGGGTTATTATGAAAATGATGAATTGCCATTTTGTAGCATCTGCCATATTGGATTCAAAATGGTGGCATTCAATTCATGTTGTATTGTTACACCAACCAAACATGTTTTTTCTGCTCAATTAGTTATGGTTAACTGGTTCACAATTCAGTTCCAACATTTATAAATATATACAGAAAGTGTATTAAATGATTACTTAATGTGAGGTCTAAATAGCGAGAGAAGCAGCAACTGTGCAATACCCAGTAGGCTGTTCAAGCTTGGTCAAAACGGGTGGTTGAGTTTGGGCCCATCACCTGAGAAGGAGACAGCATTGCTGTTATTTAGCCCAATGCATAATCTTTCATAATACAACCTGTATATACATGCTAACAAACAAATCAAGTTAACTGAAAGCTAATAAAAAAGCTGCTCTTACTTGATATTATCAACAGTTACAGAGGCCTCTTTAGGTCCATCTAGCTTAGCAGCTAACTTTTCCCTAACTTTCTGTACATGGGTATCTTCAAACCTTGGTTTTTTAGCCAAACTTTCTGGACCATCGTATTCTGCAGATCTCTTAACCTGAAACACATTCAGCTTCAGTGCTGGATGCCAACTCATATGTAACAATTGTGGATATCAAAATCACAAACAAAAGCATTATATTCAAGATGTTGAAATAGCACAGGATCTATATTAAGCTAGAGAAGCTAGACCCTTACCAAATTAACAGCCAAATAAAAATTAATTCTTATGAAATAGAGTAAATATTGAAAAACCATTTTTTTAGTATTTAGCAACTGAATCATATAATGTTGCCTGAAAAAAAAAGCATAATCATGGTTGTTAGGATTTGAAATTAAAAAAAAAACATATAAATATGCATACTATCTAGTGTGTTAGTAAAGGATGCAGGTAGCGTCTGGAACTGCCATAATTATGTGAAAGGAAAATATTTTTTTAATATTTAGACGAACATAATCTGTTCAGGAGAGCATTAAGTAACCTACTACCAACACTTTTTTTACCATGTTCTATTTCATAAGAATCAATTTTCCTCTGATTGTCATTTTATTAAGGTCAAACTTAATATACATTTTTTATATTTCTATAGATGTTAAGACTAAAAAGTATATTTATCTAACACAAATATTTATTTTTATGTCAGGGTACCTGTGTTGGTATTTCCAAAGGAGCACTTTTATCAATTGCTGGGCAGCTAGCTGTTTCGCCATTGAGGTATGCAAGTAACTCTTTACGATCGGGTCTCCTCACAACTGGTATATTTTCAGCGGCAGCTTGTCGTACGTACACAGGATGGGTAAGTGATACATTTTTGAGAATGAACAGGAGACATTCTAAAGTATAGTATTCCTTTGGATGTCCTTCTTTTCCAGACCTAACAAATGTCTATCGTGTATATCCTAGGAATATCGCCTTCAAAAGTGATACTTACCCATACATAAGGTAGTTAGTTTTAACATTCTTTGGCCAAGAAAACTCCCCAAAAATGATGTGCCCATCTTTTTCAATAATTTCTTTTTTGTTGACGTTATACTGACGCAATAAACTTAGAGGATCCGCCATGGCGAATTATATAATGTTTCTCATCAACTACACTGAAAACGCATTCAAGTACCACCTTCCAAAGCACTACTTTTGATTTTTTTGAATTTCCATTTCCAATCTGGAATGAGAAAAAAGAAAAACAGTCATCAACAACAACCACAAAACATACTTTTTTGACAGTTTGATCGTTCGATCATAAAAGTTCGGTTGCATGCACAGACTACTAAAGAATTCTTTAGTAGTCTGTGGTTGCATGATATTTTTTATTTGGCGTTGTCATTAAACCGCTCCCACACTGATGTGGCGAATATAGTCGAAATCACGAAAGATGACGATTACGTCATCATTTTAGTCTGTAGTTCTGTAGTTAAAGACAAGCGACAGCGATTTGTGAATATTTTTAATGAAGTTTCAGATAAGCTAGACAGAGACAAACAGAATTTTATTGTCTAAACAAAGTGTATTGCTAATATGCATGTATCCGGCAAAGATAGACGATGTTTTCATGTCGCATGATCGATCATTTTTGAAAAATGAATAGTTAGGTTATGTTAAAGCACGTTAGGTTGTTTTTGAATAATACTTTGGTCTTTAGTGTTTCTGTCTTAAGGTATTCTAATCATAACTGTTTTTTTCAAAACAAAAAATCCGCACTAAGATTATTGTTACTCAAAACCATGGAATAAAGTAAAAATAAAAATAATCGGTGAAATAACCTAACTTCGCAAAATCATAATATACATTTGTTGTCATTATTCCTGACATCGTGATTTTATCATCGTGGTACGTCCATTGATTACCTCAGTACAATTTGTGGTATGACGTAATAGTAATCTTTCATGATTCTGACGATACCTTACAACGTTGGACACATGGCCATTCGCCACATCGTGTGGGAGAGCGCTGACGGATTGCATGTGTCCAACGTTCGCCACATGGCACGTTCGGGCTCTTGTCGGTAAATTTGACCCGCGTCAAAGTCCTTACAACGTTGGAAGCATGGTTCGTTACGCTCCCACCGTTTTAGGTTAGAACCAGTAGCGGCGACAAACATTATTTATTTGTTTGATGTGATTGCGGTGAAGTAGTGGTATGTGGGAAGTATTTTGATTTGAATACCTACCTATTAATAATGATATATATTCATAGGCATAGGCTGCCATAACAACACTTTTTTCATATTGCCAATATTTGGTCGTGTCACAGGTGAGTTATGGCTGGCCTAAGGATATGTATTTTAGGCCCGTATCGACAGTCATCCCTACAATTGTAGGGCGCGTTTATGGCCTCCTTGATTGTCATACTCCTTTCTCTCCTTCAAAAATTTCTAGATTACAGTTGTCCCGTGTCAGCGTCAGCGCTCTCCTATTGTAAAGATATGTTTTCTTTTTAAATTGTAGGAAATTTCAGGCTGGTAAAACATGATATAACTCAAAAGCAAGCACAATTTGATGCAAATAGATGTTTGTGACATAACCTCAAAATTGATCGCTGACACGGAGAAGTAGAAAACTATGACAATCAAGGAGGCCATAAAGGCGCCCTACAATTGTAGGGACGACTGACGATACGGGCCTTAGTAAATTATAAATTATCAAGTGCTTACAGTTGTTTCAGTATAATGTCCTGTTGAGAAATATATTGACTTCCATTTCATAACTAACGAAAAAGATTAAATAAATGAATTACTATCAGGATTTTGATGAAATTTTGACCCTAGGTTACTACTATGAAAATGACGAAAAAGCTCTGCAGTTTTTGAAAATCGGTACAGTGGCGGTGGAGCTATCATCGAAAAACAAACAAAAAACACTCAAGTTTTGGTCACTGAAAACAGACTTAAAATTATTTTTCGGCGCTCGAAAAATTGTTTCCTCGTTTCTTTTGTATAATTTTTCCTTCAGTTGTAAAGGTTCAAGCGCGACACTGAAACCGATAATAGACGTTGGCACCACCATGCGTCGAACGTCCGAGGCTACAAAGTTCATCCCATCGTGTAGGTGATACACTTGCCAATTGTGGGGTGTCGAACGTTGTAAACAAAATTAGAGGCATCCTGTGGGACCCACATTATTTGTCACCTAGGTTGTCACCTGTTATTTGTTTCTCCTATCGATCGATCTGTGGATCAGTGTTGCCGAGCCTACCGATTTTTTGGGTATTTCTACCGAAATGAAACTACGGAAATAAGGAAAAGGTTATTTTCTAGGATTTCTTAAAATATTATAGATATTTACAGATTGCTTACCGAAAAAGAGCTGGGACGAAAAGTAAAGCTAAAAAAGTGAATTTTATGTTGTTCTATGCTAATTTGAACGGATATTCTCTTCTATTGTCTCAATGAAAACAAAGAAATAGATTATGTTCAGAAACAATAAGTAGTCTGTCAGTTAGTTTTTTCGGGCTGTTGAGCAGTGCTTGGGTTGGATTTGGTCCAGAGACATTAGAGTTAGCCGTGAAAGCCTTCATTCTTCAATTAATAAGTAGCCTGTTATAATTCCATTATTAATGTCAGCATGATTTCTGGTATTTCCAAATAACGTTGGTATAATCCCAAGGATAATCGAAATGTTTTGTTACTTCAATGGAAGAATGTGATGCAAAATTGAGTCAGCTGATTTTTCATTTTTTCTAGCTTTAGTCCACTTCTATTTTTTCCAATTAGGAAAAAGCATTTTGGCTGGGAAGTGGTTAGTTACTCATTTTAATCGATTTTATCCTGGTGGTAAACTTAAGATTTCAACTGATTTTGAACCACACCTTTGTATTAAAATTATTATTTTTAGTTTGTGCTTGTTATACATGAACAATAGTTAAAGATGTATGGCCGTAATATTCTATTTTTATAAAATATATCCAAAATTAACTGTTTGGTTTTTTATGTATAATTTATATTCATAAAATATAAATGCCATTTTCCAATTTGTTTTTGTGTTTGAAGAAAACCTGTGTATAGTCAAAATCACGAAAGATGACTGTTACGTTATACCATAAATTGTACTGAACTAATCAATGACGTAAGTCGATGATAAAATCACTAGTCAGAAACATAATGACTTAATGACAACAAATTTATATTATGATGTTGCAAAGTTAGGTTATTTCACTGATTTTCATTTTATTTCATGGTTTTGAGTGACACCTTAATAATAATATTAGTGGGAAGTTTTTATTTTGAAAAAAACAGTTATGAGTAGAATAACTTAAGACAGGAACACCAAAGACCAAAGTATTACTCGAAAACAGCATAACCCGCTTTAACATAACCTAACTATGCATCTTTCAAATATGATCGATCAGTCAACATGAAAACATCGTCTATCTTTGTCACATGCATGCAAATTAGAAATACACTTTGTTTAGACAATAAAATTCTGTTTGTCTCTGTCTAACATATCAGAAACTTCATTAAATATATTCACAAATCGCTGTCGTACATCTTTGCTACAGACTAAAATGATGACGTAATCGTCATCTTTCGAGATTTCTACTATATAGTCAACGCCAAACAAAGTGGCGTGCACGTCATCAAGGTGGGTGTGTTGAAAAATTTACATTGTTGCCAAACTTTTTCTAAAATAATAAAATTTATTATTTACATATCTAGGTTTATAAGCAATATTAACCTCAAATGAGAACAAAAATAATAGTATAATCAAATTATAGATCTGTACTTGCATAATCATTAAGTATGACAATTATTGATCAGATGACACTATGAAACTACCATATTTAATTGATAGCTTAAAGGTGCTGAATAAAAATCCAAATGGGGTCCTCCAAATTTTATGCATGGTATTTATTTTACAAAATTCATACAGAAAAATGCATTCTAAAATTAGGTAAGCTACTGGTGTAAGCTTTTTCTGTACAATAAAGTTAGTCGGAGTTTCTTTCTTCAGCGCTGTCTGAATCTGAATCTTCATCACTCTCAAAGTTGATTATTAAAGGTTCGATGTCTGGTCGATCAAAAATTCGTTCTCTTTCATACCATTTAAAAATTTCTTGCTCAGTATGTCGAACACTATTTTTCCACATGTCTGGGGTAACCGTTTGTAGAGCCTCGTTCCACATATCCAAACAGTCTTTTTCACTGTTACCATCTTTACCAATATGTCTGTTATAGTAACCTTTTGCTATGCCCCAAATTAACTCAATAGGGTTAATATACAATGGTAAGGAGGCAGACGAAGAACTTTGTGCCCATGTTGTTCCGCGAATTCATCAATCACGTATATTTTAGGTGGTTTGTTTCTAAAAAAGCAGTTATTTTAAGAATAGGAATAAACAAAAGAAATATAAACTGTCGACCAAAATATATATAATTAAGAAGCATTATGTACCGAGCAACAATACTCAATAGCTCTGTTTTAAACATTGTGTTTAAAAATGGTATGTTTTGATTTGTCAACCAGTCTTGGAAATTTTTTTTTGTCCATGCATTGTTGGGCACTTTGTTCAATTTCATGCTGTGATAAGGGGCGTTATCCAGTATAATCATAGATGGACTCTCCAATTTTTCTAATAACTGATGTTGAAACCATTTCAAAAAATTGTCCTGGTTCATCTCTCCATGGTAATCGCTCAATTTTGTTTTCGAAGAAAATATCGCTTCACTACCCTCAATAAACCCATTTTCATTTCCAGCATGTAATATAATGTATCTAAAATATATTAGTTTTAAATTTTATAGTGCAAATTGTGTAAAAGTACATACCTTTTACCATCTGTTTTAATAGCTTTCACGCTTTTTTGGTTTCCATTTTGCCAAGAGCGACCTATGGTCCCATTTTGAAATATCCAAGTTTCATCGAGGAAGACAAACTGGTATAAGGCCTCAACCTTGGCTTGATTGTATTGCCTTAGAAATTCCACCCTTTTCAAAGCTATACTTGGTAGTTCCATGAGCCCTCGTCGCGGATTGTCCTTAAGCCACTTAAATCCAAGATCTCTAAGCAACCGCCTTAAAGACGTGGCACTACCATCAAATAATGCCCTATCTCTTAATCGAGACCATAAAGTTTGTATCGTAACTTGTTCTTCTGAAACCATGTGTAATGTGACATTATAATTTAGTTAACAAATTAATGCAAATTTCTGATAAGTTATTATAATAAGATCTTACTTTTGTGATACATATTATAGATCACTTCTCGAATGGCACTTGTATCCAATGTCGCTGTGTTGGTTACACGTTTAATATAACTCCGCTTTTTCTTGGGCGATTCTAAATTTGCATCACTTTTCACACCCTCGGAAATACGACTAACTGTCCTTAAACTAATTTTTAAAGCAGCAGCAACACGCTACAAAAAATGAAATAAAATTTCACTATTATTAATATACATTACATATAATTATTAGTAACCTACCTCTTGAACAGCATTTAAAGGCAACAAAGGCCCGTTGTTGTCCCTTTCTTGCTCAAAGTAGTGCATTAACGAGGCCACGAGTTCCTTACACCGACTATTTAACATCTTTATATACCAAAATTGCCTTTATCTACTCGTAAAATGAATAATTTTGTTTTGAAACAAACAGTTGTTGATTTACAGTATGCGGGGCCATTAGGTTGGGGAATTTTTATCGTGATGACGTGCACGCCACTTTGTTTGGCGTTGACTATACCTGTGTGTGCGTGTCCACGCATTTCTTCCTACCGATGTGGCATTTGAATCTACGATTTCGTATTTTTCGGTTCGGCAACACCGCTGTGGATTGTTATGTGTACATGTTTTGTGGTGGACAACATTTCCGTTTCCGTAGCAGCAGCCATCTTGTTTTCCCTTTCAAAAAGTTGGGTTAAGGAGGTGAGCATGTAATGAATTACAACCACATATTTTTTTTACAATATCGATATTTTAACATTGATTGTAATTCGATTGAATCATTCTAGATCACCATGTCGTCTCACCTAGTTTGGAGTATCATTCGTAACAACAACGCTTTTCTACTGAAGAAAAGGAACATCTCCAAACCTTTCAGTACGGTATGACTTTGACATGGAATTTTTTTGAGTTGTCTTACATTGGCTTTAATTTATTCTAGGAGCCCAATAACTTAACAAATGTCAATTCCTACAGATATAATGGGTTGATCCATAAAAAGTCTGTTGGAATTGTGGATGCACCTGACAAAAAGGGATTCACTGTTGTCTACAAAAAAGCTAGCAAACAGGTAATTTTGACATCATTGCTTTGAATTTTCATGGGAATATTAATTGTCGGTGCTTTCAGAACAAGCCTAGACAAAGTATTGTCAAAAGGACAATGAAATCAGGTCCCCGTCGGTCACTGTACAAGCTTAAGCGTCTCATGAAGTGCAACAAATATCGTACAGATCTTACAAAGGTAAATGTTCTTTATATCAAAAACTTGATCATGGTCTTTATTAATGTAATATCTGAAACTGACATGTGGTTTACACAGCCACACAAGCATGGGGCATCATAGTATTTTTGTTGGATTGTAACTGGAGTCACACCATAGTGGGTGAAGAAATGATGTTTGTACCATTAAAATGCTGCAAAGTCTGCCAGTTTCAAATATTAGTCAAAAGGAAATTACTCCTGTAATTAAACTGGAACATATCTTTCTAGGCTGCTTTAAGAAGAGCTAGTGCTGTCCTGAAGTCTCAGAAGCCTTTGCCTGCAAAGAAACAAAAGCCTAAGAAGGAATAGTAATTTGCAACTTTCTGCTTCAAATAGATTTCTTATTCATATTTTTTAAAGCATCAATGTCTGCTCCATATGAGATGCACTTCTAATGACAATTTAACAACTTGCTTTATGGACATATAGTCACAACTGCTACCTGTTAAGATATAGGCTATGTATGCTCCTGTGGCTTGTGCTCATGAAGCAAATTGGTAAAAGTCAAGATTTATGATTTGTTTATTTGAAAGAAAAATATTGTGGAGAAAAACAGTATGTAAAAGAATTTTGTTTTTGTAAGATATAAATAAGAAATAAAAGAAATTAAAAACATGTTTTTCATTGATTTATAAAGATTAATTTTATCTATAAAATGTATATGACTGTGTAACCAATAAGAATTGATTAGAATTAATTACTAATGATAGAAAATAACATACTTGTTCTGTCCTAAAGACTATGTGGTGTGTCAGGCTGAATTCAAACTATCTTTTAACACTTTTTTTAATATTTCTACACCACAACATAAATTGCAAATATTTCGTCCCAAAATTCACGAACTGGCGAATTTAAGTTTCGCTTGGTTTTCAGGTAAGCCGTCTGAAGGTTTAGTGATAACTTAAACCCAAATATTGACTATGTTATTCAAGAGAACATTATGAAATTTTGACAGGAGACTTCTGGGCTGATGTTTTTTACTTATTCTAGTACAAAGATATTATATATTTTTCCTAACCTATAAAAATAAACATTTGCCTGTTTGAGAAAGTACTTTAATTGACAAAAATACATTCGCCTTGACAAAAAACTATAGATTTTGGGTAACACGAACTATAAAATCCAAATTTGGGTACAAAAATATATTGGATTACTAAAACAGGCGAATACAAAATATTGTAAACATGACATTTACAACAACTTAAATTATTCTACTTATTCTAAAAAAAATAAATAAACTTACAAAATTATAATTATTAAAAACAAAAAGAACTTAACTGCTTTAGTGTGGTAAATTTTTATAATATTGTTGGTATTCACGAACGCTTAGAACGGGGTTGACTCTCTGACAATGATATCGATGAGTTAAATTTTTTTTTTGAGGAACATTTTGAAGTCCTTTATTCAACTTGTCAACAGTTACTTTAAACAGATCTACATTTCGTGGCAATTCTATGGAACTAAAAGTATCGGCAAAGTGGCTGGTTTTAGAAAATATTTGGTTAATATGACTTTTAGTTACCATTATGTTAAGCATTTTGGTCCAGATTACGTCAATTGTTTCATCATCTTCTCAAGGAAAGGATTCTCAAAGCCTACGAAAGCTTTTTAAAGTTTAAAAAATCATCATAGTCCATTTCTGTGACTATATAAGGATGTTTTTTTCTTGCCAGTTTAATTATGGGAATAATCTGACTAGGTACAAACAAGTCTCCGGCCGCTTTCATAGCTCTGCTTATAGTACTGTGTGCCGAATCCCTCTCACTTTGTCCGTGGCAGACTTCAAAAAAGTAATGGACAATCGTCTTAACGTTCTTACTAGTTTTTAAGAAAAACAAGAATATTACGGGCAATACAGAATTTTTGTTTTGGCCGAAACAGCCATCAGAAAAAAGATCAACTGATTCGGCGCCCTTTTCGACACAAATTAGCAAAAAACGAAAAAACAAGAAGAGATTTCGGCAGCCCCCCTTATACTTTTCGTTTGATCCCAAGTATAGCAAAAACAGTCTTTGTTCGCTAATTCATATATCGTGAAATTATAAAAACTTAGACGCTGCTTATAAAATAATGTGCTTTCCTGGGTAATTGGTAACTGAATAACCTGTTGAAGATCGAACACAGCACTAATATGCCTTTTGTTTTCCATTGCCTTTTGCTTACTTTTTTCTTTAATTCCTGTAACTTTTTTCTTTTCATTTTGGTGCTTCTCATAAGTCTGTTGCATATTGCTTTTAGTAATTTCGTCAGCGCTATAATAACTATTGCATACAGTGGATTGGTCTTTTTTGGGTTTATGCACTGAAACATTTAAAGATTTAAATGCTCTTCTGTATGTGTTGAAACTAGCAGGATCTTTGTCTTCATGTTCTTTTAAGTACATGTCAAACATTTTTGTAATAGAAAGCTGTGGTGATAGGTACGCCTTGGAAGATTTCTGTCTACAATAATGGGACTCAATCCTGGGATATCTATTTATATGCTGTAAAACTTGTGTTTTAATTCTGTTATCTCGATTTTTCATTGCTTCTGATCTTCCACTTCTATCTTCTTTTTCAACTACACCACTTGGTTTCTTTTTTTCCATAGACGTTCTCATAACTTTTTCTGATACACTTAGAATATTTAAAAAAAGAACTTTACATACTGACAGTTTTTCCCCAACATAGGGTAAGAAAACTAATTTATATTAAACTACATATGTATTGCTTTTGAAGATCTAGGCTCTTAAGTGAATAAAAATCAGTCATAATTTCTTGGCGCTGATCTTTTGTAAATAAATGACATTTTTTCCAAATTTCTTGCAGTAATCGCTAGAACAGGCTGGTTTAAGTAATTTTTGAGCGACTAAATTCATCGTATTAAAAATTGTGTAATCTTTGCCAGCGAGTTTCCTTTTCTTAACTTCTTTTAGATATGCATTTCGACTTTCTTTCTTCTTAAGGGGTATCTCTGTTTCACCACCTTCAACTTTAAAATCTTCTGGTTTAGACTTCCGTTCGGAAATTTCTGTGGTCCCGGGAACATTATTATTATTATTGGTATTATTAAAGTAGTTAGTACATAGTTTATGTTTATCGCAACCTACATTTTCCTCGAAGTGATTCCAACAAAGTAGTGCTGTGCACATGTGAAAGGCAGCTCAGACCTCTTCTATGCCTCGAATAAACTCGCAATGCTGCTGGAAGTGTTCTTCATGGTCTATAGCCTTAGGAACTTTACTATTATCTTTTTTTCGTATTGCTTTGGCAATCCCTTCTGAGTCTGAATCCGCCGTATTATGAACAGTACAAATTTCACTAAAGTAATGCCGATTGCAAAGCCAGAATCCGCAACCGCAAAGCTGTTCAAGCTTTTGGTTGCAACGTTTAAACTTACAATCAATTACGAAGTTTTGGTCAAGCCTTGAGTCATCAGAATCATCCAGGCGCATTGGTATATCGTCAATATCTGTTTTAGGATCTAAAAAAATCACCTTTTAGTTTTTATTTATAGGTATTAAAATATATTATAATATATAAATATTATTATAATATTATGTGTCCCGCTGCTTACCTGGTTTATTAATGCATAATATATTCGAAATAATATTAATTTTCGGTGTTTTTGATTGATGCGAGGGAGAACTTGAAACATTGTTGCCATTTTTAATAAAACTTTCCTTTAAAAGTGAGAGTGGAATATCATCAGTCTCATCAAAGCAACCTTTCGACGAATGACTTATTTCTAAAAAAGAGTAAAATCAATATTTTAGTAAGGAAACTAAATATATTGTATACAAGAATAATTTATAAACATAATGTTTGATAACTACCTTTTTCTTCGATGTCAAGAATTTTGCCGTAATACCATCATTGCCTATAGTTCATTTTCACTTTGCATCCTGTTTTCAGAATATTATTCGATTTATCCACACCAACTAGATCTTTTATATCTACTACATTTTTAGAGCCGTCTTTCCACAACACTAACGCAACCATTTTCGGAGAAAAAACACGGCAAAACACTTAAAACAACAGCAAAACAACTACTATAAAATTAACAACGCAAGCAACCAATTTTTAGGTTAAAATACACACCGGGTAATTCCCCGAACTGGCCAATATTGACATTCGCCCACATGCTGCAATATTAAGCTGGGTTTCCAAAGAGGCGAATATAAAATACGCCGGTTTGAAAGAGCTAGACATTTTCATTTTAGACATCGGCCTAAATTAAAATATCAAATATTATCTGAAATATTTGACATACATATTCGCCACTTAGAGAGGTCATAGATAGATGTAGATACTATTCAACCACCATATAAGCCAAAAATAGCGATTTTTTCATATTCGCCTGTTCGTGAATTTGGGGACGATTTGTACGATTTCAATTTGATTTTATCGTAGTTACCGATCACCATATTTAATTTTTTGTTTATTCTAGGGATGGCGAAAAAATAGAATAAGCGTTTTTTTGTTCAAATAATCGCAATTATAATGTACGGTTATCCGAACAAAAAGTTCAATAACTAGAATAAAGGTTATTTTTTGCCATCTACAATGATCCCAATGAATATGGGCATCCTCGACAGCCCCTCTCCCCGCTTTTTAATCTCTGATTCCGACTCCTCTTAAGGTTCCCCCACATCGACGCCATACAGCGATAGCAGTAACGTCAGCGTCAAAAATCGCATTTAGCTCGATAGCTGCACATTCTCACCACCGCGGTACGGCAGTTCCTGAACCAGAACTGATAGAAGTTCGGAATCAGTTTGGAACTTCTTGGGTCAGACAACCAGCAATTAAGGAATTAGTTCCATTTTCTGTCAGTCAATCCTGATCGATTAAATGAATTTTTAACAGAAGCAGTTATCCCTATCGAATCATGTCTAACTATCGATTTATCTTCATCCCAACTCTCAGCTGAAATGTCAACTTGAAGTGGACCTAACCTAATAAACATGTGCTCGATGTAAACAAAAATATACATGTGCATTATTTAAGGAGTTTAATCATTTATTAGTTTAGTGTACGGTGTACGTTAAAATAGAACAGAAAAAAGAAAATGGATGATTTGGAAAGTGATCCAGGCTCAGAAAGCGGATTTTCTGATAATTCCACTGACGTGTCTATCAAGAAGAAGAAAGTTCCAAAGAAGAGGGCATATGAAGATATTCCAAGCAGAGCGCCGCCAACGAAAAAGGGAAAAAACGATCTATATCGCCCTCCTACAGTTGAAGAGCTTAATACGCTCAAGGAAACTGAGAATTTGTATAACAACAATCTATTTCGACTCCAAATCCAAGAGCTTATTGCTGAAGTAGAGATTAAGAATAAGAGGAAAAAGGCTTTGTCCATATGGTTAGAGGCATTTGAAAGATTTGTTTCAAACTTATCTGAATATGAATTTAAGTTATCTCATATAAATGATATAAAAAAGAGTAGGTCAGCTGAAGATAAATTGAAAAAGAGGCTCTTCCAGTACAAATGCCCATTAGAAACTGATCAAGATGTTACATTGAAATTTACTAAGCCTGATATGGTCCAAAAGTTTGGTTTGTATGAAATCAACAGTCTTCCTGGTCCAAATTTATCAATCTATTTGAATCTAGTTATGCCGAAGGAATGCTTCCAAACAAAGGATTTTTTGAATAATCGTTACCTGGTGAAGAGGTATTATTATCTCTTATACATTGCAGAAAGTCTTAGAGTTGCAGAGCTCGATACGCACATTGCCCTGGACTTCCATAGATCTAATCATTTACAGCCTATTTTGCAAGTAAAGCTGAAAAAATGTGATAGAGTATGTGTATACATCTATGCAACTCCAACACAAGAAACATTTAAGTGTACTAGATTTATACCTGATCAAAACAACCTTAAAATAGATGTGTTTAAAATGGGTATTGAAGATAATGTTTTGAAAGAAGCACCTACAATATTTTACAATGCCTCTTTAGCCTATGATGTTTCTTTAAGACAGAATACTGAGTATGTAAGTGCTAGTTTAATTGAACATCCTAATGTACAAGAGGCTATCAAATTACTGTATATTTGGATGACACAAAGAGAATTTGATATTGGATTTGGATCACTTTGTGAGGATTTGATTATATATATAGTCACATATTTACTCTCCAAAAAGAAAATCAATAAGTACATGAGCTCATACCAAGTCATTAGGAATGTATGGAATTTTTTTGTTACAACAGACTTACAAGAAGTTGGCTTGAGTTTGTCAGACTTTACACAACAAGAAACATTTGATGCCTTTAGAAAGTATTATGAGATTGTGTGCTTAGATAAGACAGGATCCTACAACATAACATCTTTTTTGTCACTGGAGATGTATAAAACTATCAAGATTGAGTGCCAGACTGCATTAAAATATTTAGATGAAAAAAGGAGTGACAACTTTCAGCAACTTTTTCTAGTTAAGCATCCATTCTTCTTGCAATATGATTCAGTTATCACTTTGACACAAGCACTTGATTATGATAAACTTGATCAAAGTATTGAGGATAGATGTTCATATGTTGGCTACAAAGGTCTTCTGAATGTAAAACATGTCCAGAAAGTACTGGCCAAGGCATTGGAGAGTAGAGTACACAGTATAGGTAAATTGATCAAAATTTTTTGTTAATACAAATACATATGCTTTGGTTAGTGCTAGATTGTTGAATATTTAGTAACTAAGCAGAATTGTATACATGGTGTGATGTGGCACATACATCAATAGAGAAATGCTGGTCACTAGAGTTGCAGGTTCCAATCACACTTCGGGAATTTTGTTCTGCTTTATTTGTTATGCCAATTTATAAGATAAAATATTCGGAAATGTGTCGCGGAGCTATGGACTAAAAAAGTAAAAACAAGTATCTTTATTCTTCAGAAACTTCTGCATATTTATTTTAATTCTTCCTAAATGGTAGAAAATTGGGGGTGGGGGGAAGGTGTCTCAAATTTTTGTCGTCATACGTCGTTTTTACACGTCTAACCTCTGTAGGTCTATGTTTGTATTAGACACACTTCACACACAGATTATCTTGTTTATTTACCCCTAAGACTTAGAATGATAGAAATATTTTTGATATCGACCATAAAAGAAACCTTTTGCGAGATTGCCGCTGGCGGTTTACTCATATCGCAACTTTGTCGGTTCTTGCGAACGAGGGTTTATATGATTATGGTATTTTTTAAACCAATCTAAAATCTCACTGCCCATCTAAAAACATTGTAGTGCCAAGGATTGAAATGGAGGGCGACTTATTGAAGAAAGTACAATTTGGTATTAAAGTGAATGGTGATAAAGCCTTCAGTTTGCTGGAAATGGGGCCCCATTTGCACGAGTTTGCAGCTGCCGCCGAGTTCCGGAAGTTTTGGGACCGCTTAGCTACTGATAGGCGCTTCAAGGATGGCAGTGCTCGAGTTGCAGTGCACTTTAAAACAAATACTATCAAGGGTGAGTTAAATAAGTGTCAGAATTTTGTCCAGTGACTGTGGACCATAGTATAGGAAAAGCCAACATTACATAAATATACAAATAAGGAACATCAGGTAAACCCGACTGCTGGAACCATTTTCAGACAGAACACTTCTGCGGCGGACAGCTCAAATGTCAAATTCCATTGAGCTGTTTGAGCTGTAATCAAAGAAATGGAAATTTCAAGATTGAAATTTGCGTTAAAAATCCATTATTTTGGTAATATAAAAAACAAACCCAGTATTACTCCCATTTCAACACAAATCTACAAGTATCCGGCTGTTGGCCGTGAAATAGGAATTTCAAAGTTGAAATTTTTGATTTATATCCGTCATTAAAATTTAATAAAATTTTAATATACTCATGGTCATTCACACTGTTTAGACAAATCCAACAACACTACATATGTCAAAATCCATCAAGCTGTTTGTCCATATACATACATACATACCCACTCGCGAAAAATGTAACCCTTCTTCTGAGGCAGTCGGGTAAAAATAGGCAAAATTTTATTCATATCATAACATTCCCTCATAATTTTACAGGTAAGAGGAATATTGTGAAGAAGATCGTCGACTTTGTCTTCAAAGATAAATTACATTTGAAGTATTCTGTTCTATACAATGAATTGGAGGACGTACTTGTGAGCAAGAAAATGGTCCCTTGCTATCCAAATGGTACCAATGAAGAAACTGTGCTCAAGATCATTCACGCCTCTGATGATCTAGGCAAGCTGCTCAGGGAGCTGAAGATGTCCTTGAAGATCACTGGTATTCAAGGACTGTCACATGGGTTCTGCTTTACTGATGTTGCTCCACCAATACCTGCTAACTATCAGGTATGACATGTTATATATTTTCCGAGATAAAACCGTGTAACTTATGTGTCGGACCATCCATAAAATTACATTGCGGGAACTATTTTCTTCCTCAAATCCAGATCGCGCTATTATTTGTATGGAATGAACCGCGCGTGAATTAATAGACTATTGCAATAAGTTTAAATCGAAAATGAGATGCGATGTTGAACACCATAATTGGATGGAAATCCAATGTCGATGTTAATGTGAAGGTGTGAATTGTTCCCATTTTGCATTATGCAACTATGAAATACTATCTTGCAGACTAGACAATTTTTAGGGTGCAAACAGTAACTCCACGTTTGCTCACTAGGCTCGTTGTGAGCGTCTTTCTATGGAGGAATGGCTCAACTACACGCATTGTTGGTTGCATATGTTTTGTGAAGCTGAGTAGTATGTAGTTTTCAATCAGTGATATTTGCTGTAGTGAGAAAATCATTACTGAATATGCTGCCAATGAATTATATCTAGGTGTTTCTACAAGATGTTGACTTAGTACTAGCTGATGGACACGTTGTGAACTGGCTTTGTAGTTGTCATGTGTCGCCTAAACGTCATAAGGCTTCAGTTATCAATGTTTGGCTCTGATGTGATGTATAATCTGCTTCAGAGATGGCATTACTAGATGTAATGGCAATGCATTGGTGCATAGTGAGGATTTGTGTGCTAATAAGTATTGATGATAATTCCATTGGATTCTTGTCTCAAATAGACTTATTTGAGATTCAAAGCTAGAAATTAGTTCAGCAACCACTTTTTCTTATCCATTCTGGAAATTACGTATGGAGATTTGCAGAATTTCCAAAATGAGACAGATAAGAAATAATTATATTCACTGTACACTGTCGAATTACAAGTCATATACGTGTTAACAGTAATTAGGCACAACGCGGGCGCGGTGGTGATTTCCCGTGATTCTCCTCAAAGTTTTTGAAAACATAAAAAAACGTAAAAAATCGTAATTTATAACTTTGAACATAACCTGTCTTCAGAAATATTTATTCAGTAATGACTTCCTCACATAGCAAATATCACTAATTTTATACACATGCAGACCAATACACATAATCATTCAGATGCGATCTTGCTATTCAACCAACTTCCTTCTCAGAGATGAAAATGACAGATTACTCGGCTTCACAACAATGCGTGTAGTTGAGTCATTTCTCCATCGATGGACGCTCACAACGATCCTAGAGAGCAAACGTGGAATGACTGTTTGCACCCTAAAAACTACCGTGTCTGCAAGATGACATTTTATAGGTTTTTTGACGTTTTATATAGGTTTTTACATAATACCCGTGCGGGTTGCAGCGAGGTTTCCACTGTGTCTCCCATATCGGTACCAAATTTACAATAGAAAGAAGAACCAATAGCAACCAATTACCGACATACCTTTCCACTTAGCTCTTAAGAAGCCAGGGTATCAAAGGAAGGGCAATAAAATGTCTGCAACGTTCAACAAGGACTGGAGGTGAAGTTTCTCCGGTCTTAGCACCCCACCTCCACCCGTAAAGGAGGCTTTATAAAGCCACGAGGTCGGGTATATCTGATGGTAGCTGCCTTACGACCATCCGAGGCTCGTACAAATACAATGAGGTCGTTCCTGCTAGATATCTGGTACAAATGAATTAATATTACTCTCTTTTGGAGATCCGAATGAAAACTGACTTGGGCGAAGAAGCAGACGGCCTCGATCATGTATTGCTATTTTTTTGATAAATAAAATAACTGTGCAATGTTAAGTATGTAAGAATTCAATTTTGAAATAGTATTTGAAGTGTAAGAAAAATCTAAAGTTTGTTAAATATATTTTTGTGTGGTATATGCCATCGAATTGAGGTTGATAATTGTCTTTCTAAAACCACTTTTCAGAATCTTTGAGACCCTCTGTTTTTTCCAAAGAACTGGATTTTTATAGAGCTCAGTATGAATGACAAAAGTGTCCATGAACTCAGTGTTCCTAGTGGATGCTCGAAGCTGCCTCTTTGCATCTTTAGAAAAATCTAAAGTTTGTTAAATATGTTATTGTGTGGTAAAGGCCATCGAATTGAGGTTCATTTTCTTTCTAAAACGACTGTTCAGAATCTTTGAGACTATCGTTTTTTTTCAAAGAACTGGACTTTTATAGAGCTTAGTATGAATGACAAAAGTGTCCATGAACTCAGTGTTCCTAGTCAATGCTCGAAGCTGCCTCTTTGCATCTTTAGAAAAATCTAAAGTTTGTTAAATATATTTTTGTGTGGTATACGCCATCGAATTGAGGTTGATAATTTTCTTTCTAAAACGACTTTTCAGAATCTTTGAGAATCGGTTTTTTCCAATGAACTGGATTTTTATAGAGCTCAGTATGAATGACAAAAGTGTCCATGAACTCAGTGTTCCTAGTGGATGCTCGAAGCTGCCTCTTTGCATCTTTAGAAAAATCTAAAGTTTGTTAAATATATTATTGTGTGGTAAAAGCCATCGAATTGAGGTTCATTTTCTTTCTAAAACGACTGTTCAGAATCTTTGAGACTATCGTTTTTTTTCAAAGAACTGGACTTTTATAGAGCTTAGTATGAATGACAAAAGTGTCCATGAACTCAGTGTTCCTAGTCAATGCTCGAAGCTGCCTCTTTGCATCTTTAGAAAAATCTAAAGTTTGTTAAATATATTTTTGTGTGGTATACGCCATCGAATTGAGGTTGATAATTTTCTTTCTAAAACGACTTTTCAGAATCTTTGAGACTCTCGTTTTGTTTCCAAAGAATTGGATTTTTATAGAGCTCAGTATGAACGACAAAAGTGTCCATGAACTGTGTTCCTAGTGGATGCTCGAAGCTGCCTCTTTGCATCTTTAGAAAAATCTAAAGTTTGTTAAATGTATTTCTGTGTGGTATACGCTATCGAATTGAGGTTGATAATTTTCTTTCTAAAACGACTTTTCAGAATCTTTGAGAATCGGTTTTTTCCAATGAACTGGATTTTTATAGAGCTTAGTACGAATGACAAAAGTATCAGTGTTCCTAGTGGATGCTCGAAGCTGCCTCGTTGCATCCTGCTGCGGCATAGCGCGAGTGCGTTCTTTTTTATACTGTACAAGTTCAACTTTTTGAAACCAACACGTTAGCTTAGACCAAATTTTACATTGTAAAAAATAAGTTTTTGTCAAGTCTCTAGGTAGAAAAGGTAAATACATATACAGTTGTAACAGCCCATAAACCCCTTTTTGCCCATATCTCTCTATTTTTAGAGCATTGCCGATTTTAGGTATCTAGCAGCATTTTCAATCAAACTCGCGAGTACCCTTTGAGCCCCTGTCGCGAAATCAGCTCTTAACTAACGTCAATTGTCTATAAACTACCTCCCTGCCAAATTATATTTAGTAAAAAAAACGAAGGACTTTCATACAAACTTGTAGATATCTCTATACCCCTTTAATCCCACACTATCGTAAAATACATTCTTAGCTGAGGCGTCCGTTCATAAAACTATCTTCCTGCAAAATTTTAGGTTCATAGGCAAAATATTTTTTAAAACCTTTGTTACGGTATTTTAAATAATTTACATTGTACGTTGTTAACACACTTATACATAAGTTCCGAATACTTCTAAACTAGATCTGTATCTATTACCTAATCTAAGAATATAGGTAATGGGTTTGTTTGTTTGTTGAAGATTTATTTAGCATTAATCCATTTTCTGTAATTTTACATTCATGTCCATTAAAATTACATGACTATGCGTTTTGCGTATTCATAAAGTGATTTATTAATATCATCTTAAATACTTTTAAATTTGAACACTGTTTGATATCATTATTCAATTTATTAAATTCAAATACTCTCTTTTGAAATATAGATTTACTAGTTATGCTACTATTACAGTTTTGACCAAGTAACACGGGAAAAATACGATTTTGAGGCGAACGACCGTACAGTCGATTTAAAGATTTTCTAAAAGTTACAAACACTAATTTTTTCAGTTTACTAGATTTTTCAAATAGAAAGGGGGTGGCCTGGCGAGTTTTTCTAAGAGACCATTTTCTTACGAATGATTTGACACTATACACTCTTATTTTATTTTCCCTGTTTTTCTGAATAATTGTAAGAAACGATCATACCTAACAACAAATAATAAGTATCTGTATTCGGTATACTTATTATATTATTCTAGTTATCTGTGAGAAACAATTGAAGGTGTTGCTAGGGTTACTTTAACAAATACCTATTAAAAAATACTGAGGCAGCTCGAATTTATTCTCAGAGATCCCCCAATCGTCGCCATTTCACTTGGCATTATTTTTCAAAACTGGAACAGAAAATGCGAAATGAACCAGAAGAAAATGTCAATCACTTTATCGTCAGTGAAGAAAAAGAAGTAGACATGGGTCTACGTTGAAGTAAATTGTACAGCATCAATTCGGCAATTTGTTTTAGAATGTGACATACATAAGTTATTCATCCATTTGGAGAATTCTTCACAAATATAATTATAGACCATTTAAGTACCAATTACACCAACATCTTTACGTTGATGACCACAACCGAAGATTAACTTATTGCAACCAGTTTTTGACTAAATACAAAGTTTTCTGTTAAAAATTATTTATTCAGACGAAAGTCGGTTTACCAACTTGGATCTGTTCAATCGGAATTATAAAAGGTACTGGTCATAAACTTGCGTCTAATGCAAGAAGGAAATTTTCAAGAGCGATTTTGTTTCAATTGCTGGATGGGTATTATCGTAGAAAGAGTTTTGGGGCCAATAATTTTCGATGGATAACTTACTGCGGAAAGATATCTAGAGTTCCTAAATAATGAAATAAATAGTTTGACTGAAGATTTGCCGCTGGCTAACCAAGTTGACCTGTATTTTCAACAAGATGGGGCTCCACCTCACAATTCTCATGCGGCTTCCGAGGTACCTACATCCTTGAGTTGTCATACTTTTTTAGAACGTTTAATTTATTTTTCATACTTTAGGTCACCAGATCT